CCTTTGTTCTTCTTCTTCTTTCCTCCTTTGTATTCTCGGATACCGGTCGGATTGTCGAAGTCAATAGGCCGAGAAGAACAGTTGCCCTCGAAATCTCTCGAGGTTCTATCTGGCGCTGATTCGTGAACCAGGTCTTTCTGTCGGGCTAATGGGGAGAGTGTGTCATAACCAGGAGGTAGGTCGTCCACCGCATCCTGGTAGGATGGAGGGGGTTGGTCGTAGTCTGGCGGATCCCATGTCTCAAGGCCCGACTCGAAAGCTAGATTCCTTTTCACGAAAAAGCTTAGAGATCTCGTCGAATCCTTTCAGAAGAGGTGCCCGTTAGCACTATCGTTCGAGATGATACAGAATGGCCTTAGGGTAAGGGCTGGAAGAGACAAGCAGAAAGACCCCTACCTCGCTGAGAATGCCCTTAACGTCAGATGTCAATAGGCGCCGTTCATACTCATTCTCAGAGCGTAACTGGGAAGCACCTATTTGATGCGTTGTAATTCTGCCTTTGGCATCAACCCTTCCAAACCAGTCCTGTGGCCAATGCCTATTGTTGATAAAGTCAAGGCTGACAACGTCGTGGTGAGTGATTGATGGGAGTAAACAGGCTCCAAGGTCTGCTGCGAGCCCAGCATTAAGAACCATGCGCACTGCTTCCATGCTGCAAGGCGACCGATTGGCGAACGGTAGCCCGTCACGTAGTAGTTATAGTAAACTCATGGATACCGAGGATATACCGGCCTCGGTCGAGGCAACTCAGATTTGTTCTCAACGACTGACAAGCACAGAGTTCAAATATATTGTCAATCAACACAATTTGAGAGAAAAGGAACGTAAACGTGAGATGGCGAAAACGAGAAAGCCTCCCTGTACAAAAGACAAAAAATGCCACCCGCTCAAGGTTGCACTATGTGGAACGCAAAACCATGAAGTAATTCAGGATCACGATTTGCGACAGTCGGCGAAGAATGTGATCGGGTCGCACTTTCAATGGCGGGAATGCGAGGCGCAAGAGGAGTCGAAGGAGAAGATCAAGAAAAAGTTCACCAGGGAGTAGCAGTCGTGGTCACAAGGATATGACAAAAGGCCATAAGGATCGTGATTCGCGACCATCAAGCGGTGGGAAGGAACGTAGGAGCGCAGAGCTATTTGAAGATCGTCTTGAGAAGATCACGTCGGGATTGGACGAACTGGTATGTGATGGAGTGGGCTAGGAATGCGAACTAATGTACGGAGTACGCAGGTCAGTTAGATAGCCTGCAATACGTTGAGGACGCAGTAGATGGTTTGCGCGAAATCGTGTACTAGTATTCAGTTTCAGAGGTGTACTTTGCGTTTGTGTGAAATATCAAAATCGGCGTCCGTATCTTCCCCTCTTGGGAGTATCTCTGACTTTTTCTTTGCTTTTTTTTTTGCTTCTGGTCTGATTGTCTCAATCAATGCACGTTCATCGGCTTGTCCACTCAGAGCACGGGAAGAACAGCTGATGTACTCCGTATGATTGTGAACGGGGTATAAAATCTGCAAAGCGGTGGCTGGGGTCCTGGGGACAGGAGGACCAACGAGGACAAGCGCTGGTCTACCTCGTAGGACTATGGAATTTGCATCCAGTTAGCAGATACTTTGTATACTCAACAGTCAAATCAGAGATGGGAGAAGGCACAGGATTGTAACAAATTGGGGTCTTATGAGCAGGAAAGATGAAGAGTCACGCAGGCACGAGCCACTCACACAGCTGGTGGAATGTCGGCGGTGGGAGGGAGATCCTATCGATAACGAATGCCCCCCTCCTTTTCCAGAGTAGGGATGATGTATGGAGTATTCAATATCTACCTACCTTAGACAAGAAAGTATAAGGAGATGACCTGATTCTATATACCCTCTTGACTCCAATATCTTAATAATAATGTTTTGTACATGAGTCCTGGCATGTTTGCGTTGTTCTTTTCCCTATTGCGGAGTCAGTCATCTTGTATGGGACTTACAGACACAGAGTACAGTACTCCGTACGTAGTACCCTGGGACATGGTGGAGAATTTCCACAGAACCATACAACTTCACGGCCTCGACACATGGAACACACCTACTTAAACATCAGACAATGATATTATTGTGGTAATCCGAGGAAGCGCAAAGGAACCGCGCATGAGATGCTTCAATAATTCGCATTCTACAGATCCAAAACTTTCCACGAAAGCCCCTCCGGAAAGTGACATTGTACATCCAACGTACTCCGTACACCTACAGGATTCTCGACAAGTTCCTAATGCATGCAACGAGGGATTTCGGGCAGCAGAGGGATTAGGAAAAGCAACATCCAACGACTTCCATTCGTCCTCAGCCAAGCATCCTCGGATAACTATAAGCTGGCGGGTTTCTGAACTTCTGTTGTTGTCCATTTTCTTCACCGCATCGAAGGCGAAGACTCTCCCTCCACCTATGAGAGGGCGAGGTGGCATTCGAGACCCATCATCGCGCTGACTGGCAGCCATACTACCTAGTAACAAGTTCATACGATGTCCGAGAATGAAGTAGTTATCAGCCTAACCCATCACCACTGCTGTCCTTGAGCATTGACTCATATCATTGACAGTGACAGGTCGTCTGTCGCCCAGGCAGTTTCCCCATAGACCATGCACGGCACGGCCATTCCCGTTGTCCCCGCCGCGTACCTAAATGCACGCCGGACTCGGAAACTTGAATAGAGACACAGTTAGAATGTGGCTCACTCTCTACGGCGTTCGAAAAAGCAGGACGATCGTGATACCCCTGTTGTTGCTTTGTCGGTGAAGCCAAGTTTGGCCTTTGACTTCAAGTACAACTGTTCCACTGCAGGTTTAGCATCAGTCATTCTGGTTTGCTCAACTGGGACAAATGCGATGGCTAATCATTTCCTTTTGGTAAAGAGAAGAAGGTCAGGAACGAATACTGAATAAATATGCATACATAAGCCCTTCACGTTCTGGTTCAGTCTTTAGCTCATCCTCACTCATTGACACACATCCACCACCACATAAGCATGATTCCGATTTAAGAACAAATCGCTGTCGCAGAGGACACTGAAACACTCATGACAATGTCCAGAGCCAAAAGGCACGCCCTAGAATGGAGGTAACAAACCCAATCCCTGGTTCGAGACGCCCTTCAAGACGCCTTTCGCCAAAGCATCTGCCTCGCGATTATTCTCCCGAGGTACATGCCAGAACTTGACGATGATTTGTCGTTCCTCCAAAAACTCGGTGAAAAGCTCAATTGCCCTGAATTGTTCCCGATTCACCACATCCAGTCCCCTGCTGTTCTTCCAGCCATTTTCCTTCCATTTGGGGAGCCATTCGGTGACGCCGCGGACCAGATACTCCGAGTCGGACTTGATGACAACCGTGTTAAGAACACCGCCTTCGTTGTCCTCCCTGAGAGATTTGACGACAAGTACGTCATGCAATGCTCTCAGGCAAGCTCGTAACTCGGCTACCTGGTTCGTGTGGTGGTCTCCCTCAATAGCCGTAGCGGTGTTCAGCACGTTGTCATAGCCCCAGCACACCCCATACGATGAGCGAGCTCCATTTTTGCCGTTGTTCGAGCATGCTCCGTCAATTGCTACAACGATGCAGTCGCTGTGACTCACATGAACTTTGCAATGTGGACACTTGCGCTTGGATCCTGGGCATGCAAGGTAAACCCACCGGCCTCGGGGCACCTCGATGTCCGCCAGTGTGAAATGGTCTGGGTAGATGTTTTCAGGTCTAAAACGGAGGCTGGCAGCTCGGTCAGGTGGGAAGTTCACTGATGACACCGATACTGGTCCCGAAGAAACGGAGGAACGGTCATCGTGACTGAACAGACTAGGGCAATGACTGAGAGAAGAGTGCACACTGTGTGTGTCCTCAGTATCAGAGTCCTGCTCGGCCTGTATCAGTTAGCAGCTGAACTGAAATTCTATCCACAGGCTTCACTTCTGTCATGGTCCTTGAGAACGAGACGTGCAAACCAGTATTGAAAGGGTCATGCAACAACAGCAGAGCTTAAAGTCGTGTCTTACCTTGCGAGCACGATAGTTTCTTCTCTTCTTCTGCTGATAGTTCCTAGGCAAAGGCATATTGCTCTGTTTCACCGTAAGAGGTTCTGACGAAGAATGTTGTTCTACAGTTGAAGCTGGAGAGTGAGAAACATATAGAGTAGAACAAGGAGAAGAAAGCTTAAGAAGCAAAGAGAATAGCAAACAACTAATGTGTCAGGGAGAATTGACAAAGACAATGGCAATCCCCCAATCCATAAGGTCCCCTATCTGCTTTTCCTAAATAGGCAAGGGCTAGCAAACGCCATGCGATGTATCAACCATGGGCTTGTCTCAGTCTAACTAGATAAGGATATATTGGTTTCTGCCTCATGCACTCGTTGCATCCATCTAGTCTGGTTGGTCTACAGGGCGAGCCAACTCTCACTTCGATTAGTACCATGGTCGGCTTTCCTACAGTAGGCATACAATTCTATTATGGCGCGTATACGCTCCATGTTGATCCTTCTTAATAATGTCCAGTAATCGAACATTACCTGGAGGCTTGGCCAAAGCCACTCCGTAAGTTGGTGACCTATCTGCTGCAGACTGCACTTCCCAATATAGAATCTGCACTTAGTAGTCACATCCTACTGCCTTAGGAGTAGAGCTGAAGTACGGTGGCTTTCCGGAGTCGATACTACCATAGCCACCCGTCGAAACTACTGCCTCGAGGGCATCCGGTCTTCATTGCAATGAGAGGTGACCATGCGTGCTTATGTGTCTCGAAGGCATTCAGGACTACAATACCATTGTCTACAGAAATTCCAGATGCAAATGACAACAAGTATCAGAGGAATCAATAAAATACAGAATAACACAGCTGGTTAAGGTGTATCAAGAGCGACCGCAGAGAAAAAGAGACACCGAATAAAGGGCGCAGACAGGACGAAGAATACCTACGGGGTACATGTAAGCCATACAGTGAACGATCCTTTCCCACATTTCAAACTCAATGACGATTTGTGATGGTCCCATGGGGTGAAGATGACAATATCTTTTATCAAAAGTACAGAGTTCAAGGACTTGGAGACGCGGATGTTGAGCGAGAAACTGCTGGTTCTTCACCATAGACTTCAAGGTATTCTTGGCGGTACCGCTCACGATCCTGTTCGGCTTGTCTGAGGTATTTCTAGAATGGCTCTATTAGCTTCATTGACCGATGGTGCATGGCTGCTAGCGGAAAGAGAAACCCAAACATACCTCCTTCTCCGTGGTTGTCAGGCCCTTCCATTCCTCTGTTACGCGCACTGCGATATCCTTGGCCTTCATATATTTGAAGTCGCCCTCGGCAGTCCGGTCCAGCATGTAAAGCAGGTATGCCGTACGAGGCCGCTTGACCTGCCGATCGTCACGGAGAAGAGGAAGAGATTTGTTCTTAATCTTGCTGAGTCTGCGGCGTGCTGCATTGGCGTCTCTGATCTGAAGAGGAGTATGCTGTTTGATCCATTCGTTATAAGCAGCCGCATTGGCAGCTTTGTTGGCTTCTGCCTCGACAGCAATACGCTAAATCGTACATCATCAGCGATTGGACAGTGGCCGGTTGATCTATCCCGAACGTACCTCACGCTCTTCCGCGCTGATCGACTGTGCAAGATGGGAACATTGCGTGACGAAGTCTGTTCCTTTGACGCCGCGAGCCTGTATCTCTTTGGCCACCGTTGCGATGGTGAGATTCCAAGGGTTATCTATAAGTTTCTTGGGAGGTTCCAGCGCTGTCTTCTGGAGTTGCTTGACTAGTTCCTTCGTCTTCTCGACTTTCTTGGCTTCTTTCTGCTTCTCTGTCAACTTCTTGCGGGGCTTCGGCTTAGCCTTAGCTCTAGCTGTCGAGCTACGCTTCTTCGTGGTCTTCTTGCCAGTTTTGGATCCTTTCGACTTTGCCGTCTTGGTCTCCTCATCGGGAGTACTTGTAGTCGCAAAGAAGTTGATTAAAGGGCGCGATAGAATGACTGAAGGACGGATTGTTTTCGCAGTCGGGTTCATCAGACGATGATTCGTAGAGAGGGAAATGCGTCGGACAAGGCCATTGGCGACGGCCACGCGAGAGGGACGAACCAGGGCATCGCTGCGATGAAGATATCGGAGAATGCCCCCTCCGCGTTGGATTATACTTCGAGGCATGATTCTGAGGCTCACAGGAAAGTTACGCGCATCAATATCCAAAGAGTCGGCTTGGAAAGAAATTCAGAAACCACAGGCAGATGGACGGGTCGTCCTAGCTAGCAAGAGCTCTTGGCCGCAGTGGTTAGCTAGCCACAAACGAAACCGGGGGGCTGGGTCACGTCCAAGGTTCGTTTTGGGTCTTCCGAATTGGGAATGTCACATCACGTGATATGCTGAATGATCTACATCACGTGAGAGCTGTTGCGGGCGTTGACCCTTCAAGATAAGACTCAAGGAAGAACTGCAGCCCGAGCGAAAACCAATCACTTAAACATCGCCACCAACTCACAATCAGAGCCGATTGATTGCCCGTCAACAACAGATTAACGGCAAATGGAAGGGTAATAAATTGCTTTACTATTCTGACTACGTGCTCGAGTTCTTTGGAGTCTCAGTAATACTCACTCATCGTTGGCCTGCAACAATGGCTCGCCACGGGGATACTCGCTCACCATCACCTGTAGGCAGCACGTACTCTTCATCCAGACGGAGTCGCAGAGATGATGATCGCTACGAGAAGAGCAGGCGAGATGATGGAAGGAGTTATCGAAGATCTCGTAGTCCTGAGGTATGTTCCTTGCCGCTTCAGTCACGCAATTTTGTTTTTCTCTATCGTTGTCCTAACTTCTCAACTCTCACAGAGGCGATACCGTGACCGCGACCGTAATTCGTACCGGAGACGTGACCGCTCCATAGACAGACGCGACGATCATCGGGATGAGGATAGCTACCGACCAAGCCGAAGGGATCGTTCTCGCGATCGACGTCGATCCAGAGATAGAGGCGATGACCGGGATCACCGCCGGAAAAGTCGCGAAAGGGATTATCGAAGCAGGCGAGATGATTCCCGCGACCGGGCTCGGAGGCGAACAGACGATTCTGCTGACTTGAAGCACAAGTCTAGACGGGACGATAGTCGGACAAGGAATCTGGATTCCAAGTCGCGAGAAGTAAGTTCGACTTCATGCTGATTTTGAAGATATCTATAGATCTGATGCTAACAAGTGAATAGACTTCGAAGCCATCCACCCCTGCGCCTGCGGCTCAAACTGATGACGAGAAAAGAGCTGAAAGGCTGGCGAAATTGGAAGCCTGGAAGCAAAAGCAAGCTGCTGAGAGAGAACGAAAGCAGCGCGAAGCCGCTGCAGCTGGCGGGGCAAGAAGTATCTTGGAAGAGATAGATAGAAAATCCGGTTTATCACCCGCTGTTGGCTCTCCGCAATCTCCAGCGACGCCGACCACAGATGCTACTCCTGCCCCGTATGCTGGCAAATTTGACCCGAAGGCTATTGCACGAAATGCAGCATCGGCCCCAAGCGCACCGTCTGTGCTTGGTAAAGATGTCGCCGTTCCTCAATCTGCCAAAGCGTCCGCTTCCTTTTCCTCCATGAATAATCATGTGCAAGCTAACAAACCTCCAGCCGCCACCAGCACCGCTCCATGTGAGTCAAGTATTCCCAGCAAAAGATTGTCTCGATCGCTAATTATTTCTTGTATAGCCACATTGACAGCCAAACGGAATGTTGGCGGCTTCGGGTTAGGCGCCAGGCAGGTTGCAGATGCGGAGAAATCGTCAGCAGTTAAGACTCTAGGTTTTGGTGAAGAGGAATCCAAACGAATGAAATTGGAGCGTTTACCTACCCCACCACTAGAGGACGCTAAAGAGGAGACGGCGGCTGTGGATGCTGCCGTAGAGGATGAAGATGATGTCGACATGCAGGACGGTGGGACTGAGGAGGAGAATGCGGCTGCCGCACGAGCTGCCGCGGAACGGCGCGAAGAACGCTTGCAAAGTGAAGCTCTGCGAGCCCAGTCAAAAGAGGCTGCGCCTCAACCCAACGGTGACGTCGAGATGAATGACGTCCCTCATCAACCAGAATCCGAGAAAATGGAGGTCGATGCAGCGGAAGAGGAGGTTGACCCACTAGATGCTTTCATGTCGGAACTGGCCGAGACCGCTCCGCCAAAGCAGACATTTGGCGCCAGATCTGCCAAAGCAAAGGAACAGCAGCCCGAGGCCATTTTTGGTGACGAACACGATGTAGATTTGACCGCTGTGGGCGAGGGTGACGCCGATGACTTTCTTGCGATTGCTAACAAAGCTAAGAAGAAGAAGGACATCCCGGCCGTTAACCACGAAAAGGTGGAATACGAGCCCTTCCGTAAGAAGTTCTACACCGAGCCTTCCAACTTGGCTCAAATGACCGACGAAGAAGCTGCCAGCTTACGGCTGGAACTTGACGGAATCAAAGTGCGTGGAGTTGACGTGCCCAAACCAGTTCAGAAATGGTCCCAGTGCGGGTTGGGCGTGCAAACTCTGGACGTTATTGAAAGGCTCGGCTACGAGAATCCCACCTCAATTCAATCACAGGCCATTCCTGCGATCATGTCTGGCCGCGATGTGATCGGTGTGGCCAAGACTGGATCAGGTAAAACAATTGCTTTCCTGATTCCTATGTTCCGACATATCAGAGACCAACGGCCGCTGGAGAACATGGAAGGACCTATTGGCCTTATCATGACACCGACACGTGAACTTGCGACTCAGATCCACAAGGATTGCAAGCCCTTCCTGAAGGCGCTGAATCTTCGGGCCGTTTGTGCTTATGGCGGTGCTCCCATCAAAGACCAGATTGCGGAACTGAAGCGTGGTGCCGAGATCGTTGTGTGTACCCCGGGACGGATGATTGACCTGCTAGCGGCGAATGCGGGCAGAGTTACCAATCTGCGAAGAGTCACTTATGTTGTTTTGGACGAAGCGGATCGCATGTTTGATATGGGTTTCGAACCCCAAGTCATGAAGATCATGTCCAATATCAGACCCGATCGACAGACGGTGCTGTTCTCGGCCACCTTCCCTCGGAACATGGAGGCTTTGGCCCGTAAGACATTGACCAAGCCGGTCGAGATTGTTGTCGGTGGCAAAAGCGTTGTCGCGCCTGAGATCACACAGATTGTGGAGGTGCGCAACGACGACACAAAGTTTGTACGACTGTTGGAGATCTTGGGCAACCTGTACTCGGATGACGCCAACGAAGATGCACGTGCTTTGATTTTTGTTGACCGTCAAGAAGCTGCCGATACTCTCCTTCGAGAGCTGATGCGCAAGGGTTATCCTTGCATGTCCATTCACGGAGGCAAGGACCAAATCGATCGAGATTCCACGATTGCAGATTTCAAGGCCGGGATTTTCCCTGTTTTGATTGCCACCTCTGTCGCCGCCCGAGGTCTAGACGTGAAGCAGCTGAAGCTCGTTGTCAACTACGATGCGCCGAACCATTTGGAAGACTACGTTCACCGAGCCGGACGAACTGGTCGTGCTGGCAATACGGGAACTGCAGTCACGTTCCTGACAGAAGAGCAAGAGCGGTATTCGGTGGATATAGCCAAGGCTCTGAAGCAGAGTGGACAGAAGGTGCCTGAACCCGTCCAGAAGATGGTCGATTCCTTTTTGGAGAAGGTCAAAGCGGGCAAGGAGAAAGCCAGCGCGTCTGGATTCGGAGGAAAGGGTCTGGAGCGCCTCGATCAGGAGCGAGATGCAGCTCGGATGCGAGAACGGCGGACATACAAGACAGGCGAGGAGGGTGAAGACGAAGAAGAAAAGGAAGAGAAGGCCGAGAAGGCGGACGAGCGGTTCAGCAAGGCTGTATCCTCGGTGCAATCTGCCGCCGCCGCCGTCGCCGCCGCCGCAACCCCCCTGCCCGGTGTTCCCAAGGGTATCGATCTTGATGGGAAGATTACGGTGCACAAGACCGAGAAAGAACCGGCGGGCACGTCAAAGAACCCATTGGACAAGGTGGGCTCGGCGGTCGCTGATATTCATGCCCGTCTCAGCCGTGCTGGAGTCATGCGGTCTGGGGTGCCGATCGATAACCGCGGACCCGACGCGGGAGCTTTCCATGCAACCTTGGAGATCAACGATTTTCCTCGTAAGTTATTCTCTGCGATGATTAGTCTTTTGGTTCAGAGAGCAGCCGCTAATATGTTTTCGCACTACAGAAAAAGCTCGTTGGGCCGTTACCAACCGTACGAATGTGGCCAAGATTCTGGAGGCTACTGGCACCTCTATTACCACCAAAGGAAGTTTCTATCCTACTGGCAAGGAGCCTGGACCGAACGAGAACCCGAAGCTGTATATTCTTGTTGAAGGGGAAACGGAACTCGCCGTGACGAATGCCATGCGTGAGTTGATGCGGTTGCTCAAAGAGGGCACCCTGGCCGCTGCGGATAGCGATGCGAGAGCACCAGTGGGAGGACGATACAATGTTGTCTGAGACGATACCATTTAGCTGGCTGTATCATAGTCGTTATGAATTGAATATTCATAGACACATATTGGCCTCGGTTTATCGCGTGTAAGCAGTATATGGCCATATGAGCAAAGAAAACATCAAGATCTATACAGGGATATTTACGCCAGATATACTCCAAAAAACACCAACAAAAAATGAGATAGCCATCGTCCAGTGTAGGTCGAGGACTTCTTCAGCAATAGACCCTAATTCCACCTCCTCGCCTCACTCGACTCATCCATATTCCTGGCAGCAGTCTGCTCCCTACTCACTTCGCTCAAGGTCTGCGCCTGCGTCCGAGCCTTTTGCGCCGCGAGTTTCGACCCTAACTTCCCTTTTTGCGCACTCGCCGCCGACTCGGCTCGTTTCTGTAGGTATCGTCCAGTCAGCCACCTTATATACTCCAACTCCATCAGAGGGGTCCACTCACCTGCGCCGCAATCGCAGCATTCGTCCGCGCATCAGCCCTCCCAGCATCAGGAACTTCAGGCGCAGTGTCGCCTAATGTCCTCCCGGGTGATTTGAAACCCGCCTTTGATTTCGCGGGGAGCGGGGCGCGCGGGGCGGCGTTGGGCGGGGGATTGGAGGCTGAGCCGAGGACGCGGCCGGGTTGGGAGAAGGGCTCGGTTTCGTTTTCGGAGCGGGAGCAGATGTTTCCCATTTGTCTGGGAGTGGGGTTATTTCGGAGTTGTAGTGCTGGGGTGGTGAGGTGAGCCGGTTGTGGTGGGATACGGTATGGACTAGAGAATAGAGATGGGTAGAGTGAGTGAGAGTTGGACGCGAGGAGGTTGAGTGGTCGGCCTAGAGGAGCGCGATGGATGGTTTCGTTTGGAGATGCGATTCGATTCCGATGTACAGTGAGATGCTGATGACCCGATATCCAACTTGATTCGAGTGGTGGTAGTGTTAAGTGCGGAGTGTTCGTGATGTTGGAGACTTGGGTGGAGATCATTGCGGAATGACGATCCGGAGGAGATCAGGGGCTGTCAGCACGTGGCTGTTAGTCCATGGACGAGGTCAACAGGGTCACCAAAGTATGGAGGAGATAGTACAGATGAGCATTGGACCTTGAGAAGGACGATTTCCCTCATACTGTGGATTTCAGATGGAATGATACGTACTATAGCCTTCGCCTTTAAACTCAAAAAAGGTGAGCCTCAGTGGCATTAGAGAACTACAGATCGAACTGGAGAAGATACCTTCATTAAAACTAACAGAAACCGTCTGATCTCTTACGAATCCGGGAAGCTAAGGACCAGGTACTAGGTAGTTAGTGGTCAGGAGAGACAAAGAGAGCATTGAAGCCATTCAAGCTCGCCTCTTAAGTCTGGCAAGTGGATCAGGCAACAAGGCACCTATTGAAGTACCTTATCAGAATGATTACCTAACATAAAGCGGTATCGGCAGGCAGAATCAGATTCCCTGTGGAAGACTTTTCCACTTTAAGATTATTCTCGACGGAGTGTAAGGTAAATGACTGAGAGTGATGGTAGAATGATGATTCAGAGGCTTTCAAGAGACCATTAGTACTATTCGGCAAGACTCTTAGCAAACAGTCTCACTCTCACTTTGTCTGGCGATTTTCGAGTCGCTAACGATAGGCCTGACAATTCAGGCGCTACGATTCGCCCAGCGGGAGGGATGACATGACGCTTGTTCCCCCAAGGTCCTCAATTACCCATTAGGTGCTTGCTCGCAGGGTCCTCATTCTCCTCCTCGCTTGTTTTTTTGTATGGATGGGGCAGGTATTACACACCTCCCCCCTAACCTAAGGTATATGCAAGAATCTTAGTTGTCAAGGTACTGTATTATTCTGTGCTCAAATGGGGAATCCTGCTCTAACCTTCAGTTCTAGGTAGTCCCTGTTACCTCGGGGTATTACAATGATCCATTCCCCTGCAAGTCCCTCGCACAGATCTGGATGTCACCCATCGTCAAATATATACACGTGGGAAGCTCCCAAGGTCCTCCTGGATTTGCACTGCAGGCGGTCAATCCCACGCTCTGGCCTTCATTGCTTCACTCTCTACCATTCTCTCGGCGTAACTCATTTCTCCCATTGCATATTGCCACTCCGCAGTGATTGATCGCATTGTGGTAGGTGCTCGTACCTCTTGCCTCTGCCCTGCCCTGCCCTGCCCGCGCTGTGCAGATAATGTGGAACTGACCCGTGCTAACGTCCTCAGTGCTATCTTCCCCAATCTTGATCATCTCCCCGCCTCGTTTCTTTTTCCTCCTCACTGTTTCAAGCCATTGAACTCTGATCTTCCATTGTCTTCCCTATTCTTCGCGCTTTGAAGCCTGGGAAGATCCCGTTGCCGGCGGATCTCTTCCCCCTCCATGTCTTCCCACACCAAGAAAGACGATTTCTGCCTCGAATGTCACTGGGAGGCCTTTCATCTGGATGGCAATGACTCCCAGGACGCCGCGGAGACCTCCGCTCAGCCGCAAGAATGGAGTTGTCAGGACGAGGAGCATCACACCTCGCTGACGCACTGTGCCGTTGACGAAGCGTGTTGCGATGTCGATGACTGTTCCGTTAACTGTCCTTCCGTCTGTGACGGCTTCGTGGGTTGTGATGTGGAAACTGCTTGTTCTGTATCGCACTGTGACGACAAGAATTGCAAAAGCGCGGACCCCGTCTGCTTCGATGAACACTGCTTCAGCTTCAGCGACCACAACGGCCAGGCCACCGATCATAACAATCTAGAGTCACTGCTGGGACTGGGGCCGTCGCTGTCGCTGGAAGCTTGCGACCTACTCCCCTCAACGACCATCGATCATAATCAAATCCACCAGCCATCTAAACCTACAGAGAATGGCACATCGGGCCTTGTCAACTCGGCGCAGTCCGCGGACGCCCTGTTTCCGTTCTCGACAGCCTTCCATCACTGTCATCCTTCGTATCCTCACTTTCACTGTCATACTCTGCCCCGAGATTCGCACAATCACCTTGGGAATGTGCCATTTCCCCTGCCGAATGAAGTCAATCCGGCGGATGTATTCCAGATGCTTGGAATGTGCCCCAGCCTGTCCGCCTGTCCTGATATTCACACCCACGAGGACCAGAACTGCCACACTCATCTAAGCAAATTGGACAACGGCTCGACCGATTCCTTCACGTGCTTTCACCTGCCGCCGCCCAGTCCACACGATTCGTCCAAAGCGTCGGTCAATGTCAACGGGAATGTGCCTCTCAAGGGCCCATGCCGCTCGCATCATCGGTGTCGAATTCACCCCCACTCGCATGTTCATCCATACGGACCCTACTCACCGTATTCCCGCCAGTCCCGATCGAGCGTGAGTTCACAACTGATGTCCAGTCCGGGCGAGACGCCCCCGCCGTTGGAGGGTGGCGCCTCATCGGTGTTGACAAGTCCGGGGTTCCCTTCCGTCGACGGGGAAGTGCATATTTGCAAATGGACCACCACTAGCCATGGTGTCAAGAGATCCTGCGGGGCGACATTTTCCGATGCTTGCGCGCTCCAGGAGCATTTGGTTGCAACTCATATGGGGACTGTGGAAGGGGCAAAGGGTACCGGCTACTATTGCTGTTGGGAGGGATGTCACCGCCCGGACGAGCCTTTCTCCCAGAAGTCCAAGCTTCAGGGACATTTTCTGACGCACAGTAACTGTAAGTGCATGAGGTGGACTGGGGGGCTCAAGGCGAATCTGACAGCATTTCTCGGTAGATAAAAACTTCAAATGTTCGGTTTGTGGCAAGCTGTTTGCCCGGCAAGCAACGCTGGAGCGACACGAACGAAGCCATCGTGGCGAGAAGCCGTACAAGTGTGCCGAATGTGGCAAGTCGTTCACCGACAGCAGTGAATTAAGTAAGTCACCAGACCGTGTTATTGGTCAGGATGCTGACTCGATAGAAACCCATTCACGGACGCATACGGGTGAGAAGCCGTTCAAGTGCACATTTCCAGGATGCAACTTTCAGACGGGCGATGTAAGTCACTCCCTTTGCTGGAGGGGAATAGCATGTACAATGTACTGACATTTACAGTCGTCCAACATGTCGAGCCATCGACTAAGTATGTTCCTCGCTTATTGGGGTAGTAGTACATGACTGACTGACGAGTACAGCTCACGGAGAACGTAAACATAAATGCAATTTTCCTGGATGCAGCAAGAGTTTTACTCGGCCTGGTACGTTGTTTGACTCTTGGCAGGTTAGCCAGTGCTGACTCTGTAGACCAATTGAAACGGCATATCCGGACGACACACAAAGCAGACAGCACGACTTTCCCATCGCCGCTCACCGAGCAATTCGCATTCCCCCTTGGCACTGTTTGATACCTTTTTCTTCATCACATTGGAGTTAGAGACAGGGCGGTATACGGAGTCTGGGTATAAAAGTTTTATGCAACTGCCCGGCGTTGGAGAGGGATATTTTGCAATGATTGATACCATACCATTCCATGATGACCAATCACGACATGACTGTATACTAGCAGCAGCAGTAGCTAGCAGCTCTATAATGACCCAACCTCACACATCTCATGAATCCCTGGGGAACATTACTCCGCATGCGCCCTCTCCTCCAAAGCCTCCACAGCATTACTCAACTCCCTCACCCGCTGCCCAACCCGTCTGCGCACCTCCTCCCGCACACCGGACGGGATATCCGAGGGATCAAACTTGGTATTCACCAGCTGCCCTCGGTCATCGCTATCGCTCTGCTGCGTCTGCTGCGGCGCATGCGACTCCGCCATCGCCGCGAGCTCGGTCGTGTAGAGCGAGTACACGGCAGCCAGCTGGTTGAGGGCGTCGCGCGCGGACTCGCGGTCCGAGGCGGCGTAGATGGTGGAGTTGGCGGTGCTGTCCGTTGCGATTTCGAATTCGTCCGTGGCGGTTTCGTAGCTGTCTTTGTTAGATTCGTATCATGTCTTGGATAGGGAGGGGAAGGGGAAGGGGAAGTACAGTTCTTGGAGTTCTTCGACGAGGAGGTCCGCTTGGGATTTTCCGGTGGAGAACCGTCTTCTCGATGGTGGGATTTGCTGGAGGGAAGACGGGTTTGCCAGGGGTGGTGGCCTCAAGGGGTGTGTGGATAGAGGTCGGAGGTGGATGGATGGGGTGAGGTGGGAGGTGAGGAGAACGCGGGAGGGAAGAGGGTTGGCGAGGCGGTGGTATAAGCGGCGGTTCGATTGATTGAGGCGGAGGGAGGTCATTTTATTCTTGTGTATCAATTGATTCCAAGCTGAGGTATGGAAGTGAGAGGTGGAATTGGATAGTTGTTGTTGAAGCTGGAGGCGGGAATTGTCGTCGATGATGACATGACATCAGTTTGTGTGTGTTACCGTACCACTACTACGGAGGTACCTCTCTACCTTACTTGACAGACAATTCGATAGGAACCCATATGTATAAAGACAATGTGATCTATATCGAAAACTAAAATCCCATTCTCATCCCACCATTGGCACACACCACGCTGCCCGTACACCACAAGCCATCCGCCGTACAGAGCATCCCCACCACCCCCGCAATTTCACTGGTGAACGCCGGCCGCCTCCCGCCCATCTTCTCCCTGATCAAGCGGATCTGCTCCTCGCTCAACGACTTCAGCTGCGGATCGTCCTCGACCAACTTGCTCAGCGGCGTCGCATCCTGGAACCCCTGCATCTGGTTCCAAAAGTCCTCCCCGGTCGCAAAATACATGTCCCCGATCACGGGGCCCGGGTTCACCGCGTTGACCGTCGCCCGGTCGGCCAGTTCGCGCGCCCAGGTGCGCGTCATCGCCTCGAGCGCCGCCTTGGTCCCGCCGTAGACCGTCTGGCCCGTGAACCCGATACTCGACGAGACGGAGGAGATGTTGACGACGCGGCCGGAGCGGTCCGTCGGGAGGAACTCCGCGCAGGCCTGCGTGAGCAGCAGCGGCGCGAGCACGTTGATGCTGTAGTGCCAGTTGAAGTACTCGCGGTCGATGGGGCCCTTGGCCGGATCGTTGAGGAAGCGGTCCGCGCTGACGCCGGCGTTGTTGATGAGGACGTCGATCTGGAATCTGCCCTCGGGCGAGGTGAAGTGTTGTTTGGCGGCGGCGAGGATCTGGGGGACGGCCTCTTCGGCGTGGAGGAGGTCGGCCTGGACGGCGACGCAGCGGATAAAGTGGGTGGAGGCCAGCGAGGCGCAGAGGTCCTCTGTGCGAGCGCGCGAGGATTCGGAGGTGAAGTTGAGGAGGAGCGAGCAGCCTTTTGCGGCGAGGTTGCGGGCGATTGCTTCGCCAATGCCTGGTTTCGTTAGCTGCGACAGCGTCGTGGTGTAGGTGTAGATGCTGTAGACATACCCCGCGAGCCCCCAGTGACGATACCGAATTTCCCCTCCAAAGGTCGCGACATTGTTATATCTGAGTGAATTATGTCGTCAAGGTAATGAATTAATGCTATGTACTCTAGTTGCAACAGTTCAAGATTCTTCCGATCATAGGCGGGGTCACCCCTCGTTATATACACAGCTACAGCAGCTCATCACGCGGTACGCAGCATCCAAATCTAGCCTTGATCGCATCCAGACATTCAGTCGAGTGTGCCATTGCACGGAGTAGAAAGAATAAATCTACCAAGTCTAGTGCAGTGGATCTCTTTCCTTCTCCACTGTTTGTGCCACGGAGAATTTCCCGTTTTGGTGCTCCGGCGGTTCCTATATCAATTGACCCCGAAGTAACTAACTGATAATATCTTGAATAGATCCTACGACTGGCTGATCTTCAACCGCTTAAATGCCTGCGCATTCTCCTGAATCGCCAGCTCAACCGGTAGCCTCTCCATACTACTCGCACCAAAGAACCCATGCACGCCTCGCGTCCGACCGAGCACATACTCTGCGTCCTCCGGGCCCGCCAGCGGCCCCCCATGGCACAACACAATCACCTCGGGATTGACCCTGACGACCGCATCCCGGATCTCCTGGATGACACCGACACAATCATCCAGCGACAGCGCCGTCTGCGCCCCAATAGTCCCCGAGGTCGTCAGCCCGACATGCACGACGATGACGTCCGCCCCCGCGCGCGCCATGCGCTCCCCCTCATCGACGGTAAAGACATACGGCGTCGTGACGAGGTCCATGTCGTGCGCGAGGCGGATCATCTCCACCTCCTTGTCGTAGCCCATCCCCGTCTCCTCGAGATTCTGCCTGAATCTCCCGTCGATCAGGCCGACCGTCGGGAAATTCTGCACGCCGACGAAGCCGAGCGCGCGGAGCTGGTGCAGGAACGAGGACATGCTGCGGAAGGGGTCTGTCCCGCATACGCCGGCGAGGACGGGGGTGTGCTCCACCACGGGGAGGACTTCGGTGGCCTGGCGCGTTGTTAGATTTGCGGCTGTAGAGTGTAAACTGTAAAGAAGAGACGAACCATCTCGACGACGACCTGGTTGGCATCCGAGTATGGCATCATGCCTGCCAGCGACCCTCGCCCGGCCATCCGGAACCGGCCCGAATTGTAGACGAGAATCAGATCTGCGCCGCCTTTTTCGATGAATTTGGCTGAGAGGCCGATCCCTGCGTACATCAATCACATTGACTGGGAAAGGTGAGCAGTCTGGTACGAACCAGCTCCAGCGCCGACGATGATCGAGCCCTCGGCGATGGTCTGGCGGAGTCGAGCCAGCACGTCTTGACGGGTTGTTGGACGAGGCATTTTGACAATTATCTTGATTCTGAGGTTGTTTTCCCTTCTTCTCTGTGTTGGTGATTACTGAGAGACAGAAGAAGACAGCTTAACGCTGGATGCACTGATGTGACGACCCCGCCTGCACTGCGTCATTCGCGCCTTAGTTGGAGCAGCTGCATAGAGGAGTCTACATTGCTAAATTGTTCTCTGGATATACAGGCTGCAACATGGTCAAGATCGGATATTTGTTCGATTGTAATAACCAATATATCTGGTGGTAGCCTTAATCACCGAGTACAAGATGGACACCAAACCAACCATCGTCCTCATCGGAACCTGCGACACCAAATGGGACGAACTATGCTTCACGCAGTCACAAATCCTCACTCACAACACCTGCTCCGTCCTGCTCATGGACATCGGCCGCACCCCGAGCCCCCACGCCTCCATCGCCATCACACATCCCGAACTAACCAGCCCCGATACCTCCACCGAAAAGATATCGGATCTCCCCCGCCCAGAATACATCCACCGGATGACCACCCACGCCATCACCACCCTCACCAACCTCCACCGCGCCGGCTCCATCCACGCCGTCCTGGGCATAGGCGGCTCCTGCGGCACCGCCCTGGCAACAGCCGCTATGCGCGCCGCCCTCCCCGTAGGCTTCCCCAAGCTCATGGTCTCGACCATGGCCAGCGGCGACGTCACGCCCTACGTCGGGGAAACGGACCTGACCCTCATGTACAGCGTCGTCGACATCGCCGGGACGAACCGCATCCTGAACCGGATTCTAGCGAACGCCGCGGCGGCTGTGACCGGGATGGCTGTTTCGTTCTGCGCGTTGCAGGCGCAGAGCACGCAAGCCGCCCGGACCGATCGCAAGACCCGCATCGGGATCACCATGTTCGGGGTGACCACGCCCGCCGTCGATACCATTCGGGAGCGGCTGCAGCGGACACTCGACTGCGAGGTGTACGTCTTCCACGCGACCGGGGCAGGCGGGAAAGCGATGGAGCGGCTCGTCCGCGAGGGCCAGCTGGACGCCGTGATCGATCTCACCACGTCCGAGATCGCGGACGAGATCGTCGGCGGCGTGCTCTCTGCGGGACCGCGGCGTCTGGCGGCGGCGGGCATCCCGCAGATCATCAGTGTGGGTGCCTGTGACATGGTCAATTTCGGGCCGCGGGATACGGTGCCGGCGCGGTTTCTCGACAACCAACGGCTGCTGTATGAGCATAACCCGACTGTGACGCTGATGCGGACGACTGCCGGGGACGGTGAGCGGATTGCCCGTTTCATGGCGGAGAAGCTCAAAGCCCATGTTGCGCACCCGGAGCGAGTGCGGGTGATTTTGCCCACGGCGGGTATCAGCATGCTTGATACGCCGGGCCAGCCGTTCCACGACCGGGCAGCTGATGAGGCACTGTTCTCGACTCTCGAGAACGAGCTCAAGGGGTCAGGAATTGCAGTTCTGCGAGACTTGAGAGAGATCAATGATCCCGAGTTGGCCGTCTCCGTAGCCGATTCCCTAGCAGATTTGTTGATGGGCCACACGAAGTGCCGATCCAAATCGGCGGCGATTGGTACGACCAAGGGTACGACCGATGCTACGATATAACGAAGGTGTGATCAATGTTGTATTCAATTCTGATCCAATGCATGTGGAATGCATCGGTCTGGTATCATTTGACCCGATCTAGTCGGGGTTGACTATTAAGAAAGAAATATCGGAGGCATTGTTGAATGCAAACATACTCCCAAGGAGACCCGCCCATACAGCCAATAGGAAAAGAAAAACCCCCATATATGCCACTTTTCTTGCCGTTGAAGACAAATACTTTTGAGCTCTAAGTTGAGAGAACCCTTTATGTTGTTCGTAACATCGTGATCATGTTGAAAAGGTCTATGTGTCAAGGTATATCAAGCGTCGACGCCATCGAGAAAGGAAGATGCTTAGTAGCGGTAGCTGCAAACGTTAGCTTGAACCTGTTGCAAGAGATTAGGCGCACTTACATCTCGCTCTTGAAAGGACCGGCAATATCCAGACCCAGGTACTCGGCCTGAACGGGGGTGAGCTTGGACAGCTTGGCGTTGACGTGCTCCAGGTGGAGCAGAGCAACCTGCTCGTCCAGGATCTTGGGAAGAACGTAGACACCAACGGGCTTCTTGCCGGTGGTGCCGAACTCGATGTACTTCTTGCCAAACGCCTCGTCCTCGGCCTTGTACAGAGCAATCTGGGCAAGGACCTGGTTGGAGAAGGAGCAGGACATGACAAAGGAAGAGTGGCCGGTGGCACAGCCGAGGTTGACCAGACGACCCTCGGCAAGGAGGATGATGTGGTTGCCGTTGGGCATCAGGTAGCGGTCAACCTGGGGCTTGATGTTCTGGACGGACTTGGCGTTGGCTTTGAGCCAGGCAACGTCAATCTCAATGTCAAAGTGACCAATGTCTGTGTGTGATCAGTACAAAGGTAGTAGAGCTTGTAAAATCCTGTCACTTACTGCAAACAATGGCGTCGTTGCGCATAACCTCAAAGTGCTTGCCAACGAGAATGTCACGGCAACCGGTGGTGGTAACGAAGATCTGACCCTGGGGAGCAGCCTCCTCCATGGTGGTGACCTGGTAGCCCTGGACGGCGGCCTGGAGGGCGTTGATGGGGTCAACCTCGGTGACGAGGACACGGGCACCCATGCTGCGGAGAGCATCGGCACAGCCCTTGCCAACATCACCGTAACCGGCAACAACGGCGACCTTGCCGGCAATCATGACATCGGTGGCACGCTTGATACCATCGATGAGGGACTCACGGCAACCGTACAGGTTGTCGAACTTGGACTTGGTGACGGAGTCGTTGACGTTGATCGCGGGAACAAGGAGCTTGTTCTCCTTGAGCATTCTGTAGAGGTGGTGAACACCGGTGGTGGTCTCCTCGGAGACACCGTAGCAGCCCTTGAGCATCTCAGGGTACTTGCTGTGGACGAGAGCGGTCAGGTCACCACCATCGTCGAGGATGAGGTTGAGCTTCTGGCCATCCTTGAAAGCGTTGAGCTGCTGCTCCAAGCACCACTGGTACTCCTCCTCGGTCTCACCCTTCCAGGCGAAGCTGTTATGATATTAGAGCTGGCTGGTTCAGAATGGCAGGAGAACTTACACAGGAACGCCGGAGGCAGCAATGGCGGCGGCAGCGTGGTCCTGAGTGGAGAAGATGTTGCAGCTGGTCCAGGTGACCTCAGCACCAAGGGCGGTGAGGGTCTCGATGAGAACAGCGGTCTGGATGGCTAAAGGCGAGTCAGATTCTAGTTTCAAACCCCCTTTCCTGACAGGGAAAGCATACTCATGTGAAGGCAACCGGCAATACGGGCACCCTTCAGGGGCTGGTCCTCGGCGTATCTGCGGCGGATGGCCATGAGACCAGGCATTTCAATCTCGGCGAGCTCAATCTCGCGGCGGCCAAAGGCAGCCAGAGACTAAAGGGGGTTAACATCGTGCAAAGGATTGAATGTGAGGCAGGATCTAAAGGGCCACGTACGATGTCGGCGACCTTGAACTTCTGAGCGGGGGCAGCCATGGTGATGATGAGAAAGGATAGTTGGAAAACAAGAAGCTGGACAAGATCAGTTAGGACGAGTCTCGATAGATTGACCGCAATCGAACAGAAGATAGGATGAGATGACTTACTGAGGAGGATGAGGATGAGGATAAGGATGAGAAGGGAGTGGATGAGATGGAGAGAGGAGGGGAAGAGAAGAAATAAAAGGGAGAAACCAGCGGAGGGGAAATCCTCTCACTAGGCACGTTCTCTGGCTCTGGCTACTGTCGGAGGGGAAACGCCGTTCGGACTCGGAGGGTTTTTGCGGCGGGGCATGGGTACCTCAGGCGTCAAGGCACTTCCGTCAGGGTCGCTGCCTGAGGCCGGCTATCCCTCAGTCCTCTGACCGCTACTTTCTATCCATCACCATAATCACTTCGGCTCGATGCAATTTCATGAGTAGTCTAGATATCATTGACCCTTATTTGGAGATGGATCAGCCTGTGACTGTGGAAACTTCGTTCTGTTTCATTATCTATGCTAGAAGATAGTGACAGTAGCTGTTACATTATTATTCAATCAGTTATTACCTGGCGCTCAACCATAATCCCCCCGGATATCGATGACCCCCGATCACTGCGCTCCCTTGACACCAGCTCCAAGTACTCATCATCAGCCTTCCCCCTGGTAGTATGACTCTGACTGGGCAGAGTACCATTCGTCCGAACCCACACATGGCTATGCTCTTGGTCCAGAGAACTGTTCTTCTGCCCTCGCCATCGACGCCAAGTATTTCTCCAAATAAACTTAGCAAGCGGCTGATACGCGATCAAGCACGACGCAATGAGATACATCCCCACCTCGACGAGGGTCCAGATGATCAGCAATGCCGCGCTCCAGGTGTTGTCCGACACGGCATTGGTAGTGCTGAACGTAAAGAAGGCAATAAGGCCGGCGATGAGGCCCCTACGCTCGTCAGCCCCATACCACGATGCCTTGTACGCTGTAAAGAAGAAAAGGCTCGACTCACACACTGCCCAGCAAAAACGTAATCAACAAGCCAACCTTCAACCGCATTGTTGACTGCAACCGGATCACATGCGGGATCGGCAGGATGAGCATCACCACATCCGAGACGAGATTCACGATCCGCGAGTATCGGAACCACGCATTGATGTTGAAACAGTGCCCGTCAACGCTCATGTCCCACAGTCGCCGGAGAGGCGTGCAGACCGCGAAGCCCGCCGCCGCACAGCCGATGCAGTTGCCTATCATCAGGACGCCGGTGGCATAGCAGGTAATGCGGGAGACGCGATGCCTGTTGAATATGGAGATGTACAGGCTCAGCACGGCGAGTTTGGGAAGGATCACAGCGAAGATGTAGATGAACGCGATGGCGAGGAGGAACTTGGCCCAGGTCTGCATCATGACCGGATCGATGGCCATGACGCGTGCTTGATGCAGGCCTACGCCGCCATACCGCATGTCTCCTGCAGCGCATTGTCACATTAGTATTCTTCGTTTGACAGAGGAGATGGGGAGGTACCGATTCCCACGGATATCAACGCCACATAGAATATCCAGCCCAAGATGATGAAGATATCCTCATGATGCCAGCCAACACGCCCGATACGACGAGAGACGAAGCGTAAGATGACTGCAGATGTACTCAGTACAAGAAAGGTGATCGCCACGCTCAGCAGGGCAGGGCGTCTATCCTCTGCAAGGTAAGCAGCCGAGTATTGGGGTCCGCCTTGATCCGCCATCTGGTCGTCCAACTGATTTTTGGCACTGTCAGGAAGACTTGGTTTGAGGGGGCATATCACCTAAGCGCTTATTCTTTGGCCAGGAAGGCATCGAGTCTATAAATACCCCCATGGTAGTGCAGACTGCCATTCCCGGCAGTTTTTGCGCAGGTTTGTGTTACCAACTGTCGCAATGACTGACGAGATGGCACATGCTGTGAGAGATAAGGTGTAGGAATAGCAGTACACAATTTACCCATGTCGGTATTTTTCGTCCATACTCCCTTGCGTGATGCGGGGTTACATTCCTGAAGTTGAGGCTGAATCGGTGATCGTCGCTCCCCCTACGGGGCTTGGTCAGGTTTGAAACGAGTGTATCACAAAAGGAGTGTAAGCATTGAGCGATGGTTATGGTAAACCGACGGCGCAACTTCGTCTTCTGTGTATAGTACATCATTCCTAAGCCAAGGTATTGAAGTTATGGAACAACGTCTGACGTCTACTTCCGGCGCCTAAGGTGTGCGACAGTTCGATACCTACCACGCTTAAGGCAGTCTACTGGCTCGCCTTCTGACCAACGACAGTGAGTCTAGTAAAAGCCAGAACAGATCCCTCCCGAGTCTCCTTTGCAGCCTCGGTCAACAACTGTCTAAGTTGCTGCACCATCTGCTCGTTCCCACCTGCCTTGTTCCGGGCCAACACCTCCGTGGCCAACATTCCACACTCATGCAGTGCAACCCCCAGATGGGGTGGGGCCTCCTTCACATCAGATTCGACATTTGTGAATCCGCTCTGTGTGAAAAGCGAGGGCAGAGTTGGAACCCACGCGGAACGAAGACGAGTATCATTAGCCTGGAAAAGGTTCATCAACTTGACCTGCGCGTCCACCTTGACGTCTGGATTGATCTTCTCGACGCGAAGTGAGGATACGTCGATATCGGTCCACTGGAGGTAGCCTCCGGGCTCTGTAACCAGCGGTTAGAGTTAGGGAAATTGTAGAGGCTGGTTGACGTACTGAGAAGTTTCAATAGATTGTCAAGTACACCCTTCAAGTCAGGCTGTTGGAGAACAAAGGCGAAATGGCGAACATGAACCACGTCATAAACTCCAACCAGGTGCTCGGGGACCTCGGCCTTGATATCCCAATGGTGAAGGCTCATGTTGGGCGGGAGCCAGGCGCGTGGAGGAGTAGCATCAAAGGAGACGTCAAGTCCATCCAGTTGGACAGTTGCAGGGAATTCGTCGACCAAATCGGTGAGCCAGACACTGTCCGTGTGAGTAGCTGCCATTAAACAATTCGAGCTTGACACACCCAGTACCAGTTCCAACGTCCGCAATCCGTAAGTTGTTCACATCCTTGACAGGAATCGACGGGTGGATGCGGTATCCAAAGAGTTGGACGACCAGATAGTGCTGCAGGTTGATGCTGCAATTGTAAGCGAGGCAGAGAGCAAAGCTTTGGATGATCATACCGGTTGTTGTCCAAATAGTCCCGGGTAAAGACGTATTCTGGAGAGGAAGACATGTTTGTCGTCTTGATTTGACAGGGTTGGGTTGTCGAACGAGCGAAATGTACTGATGAATGTTTGATGATGTAGAGAGATTATAAAGGATAAAAAGTGGAAGGAGAGATGAGGTGCGGTCGATTCTTCTTCTCGAAATATAAGCAAGTGAGCGATATAAGTGAAGGACTAGGTTTCTACGACCAGACAGCTGCCTAAGGCCCTCAGGTACCCAAAAGAGGGCATTTCTCATATACTAGGCAACCCATCCCTGTCAAGCATTCAGTAAGAGTGTAAGACACAATTCTTTGATCAGGATATGCAGTCTGACGCACTAGACTGTCACCGTATCATCTCAGTAAATCGAATACCAAGGCGTCCCTTCTCAAGCATTTGCCAATTTTTTATGCTTAAACATTCCCGTTCGAGACAACTGCGCCATTGTCTGACTTGATCACACATCACTTTCCGAACGTAAGTGAAACTGGCTGCAGCGAGAACAATGCTCTGGCTGGCATATCACCGAATATGTCTCTCATTCTCAAGCTTATGTACTGCCTCAATAGATGACCGTCATCTTGTTTCAGCATAAAAGAATGGACCCATTATGGCAGTGAGCACAGCCATAAGGAATGCAGTGAAATACTTTTCCGCGCTACACGTGTAACCTCGCAAGGCTGAGCTCAATCAGAGATAAGAATGGCAGAGCAAATGACCTGAACTGAGACATGCCTTAGGGTGTGATTGATCTGGCTCGTGTTGCAGGTTGCACTGGAATGGGTCGAATTCAATCTTCGAGAAGACAATTTATTTGTCATTATATCGAGCGTGTGTGAACTTCCCTATGATTATCTACTACTGGCATATTGACATTCTTGATCGGGGCCAAGATGAGCCGGTCCTCATCTTGTGCTGTCGCCTGAATGTCAGGCTGAGTCCTTCAGCATTGCTCGGGAGCGCCGTCTTTATCAATCATTAGGTCCAAAACAGTACCTACTGGCCCTCCGTGACAAGGCGCATTTGAATCAGCCCCTCAATCTGAGTCAAGGTCAGGAAGTGTTTGAGACTCAGACAGTCGAAGGTTCCAATGCGAGCTCAGGCTTGCTAGAACCTGATGTCTATTGGTGTCTATTATCGAAGAGCACACTTGGTTGTCTTGTCAATGACTTCAGCTGAGACCCTGCGCCAAAGAGACTGTCACCATTTGTGTAGGTTATAAAGAGCACACTAGGACGAAGTTGATCATTCTGATAGCATAGTACAGATGAAGGTTAGTTAAGGCTGATTACTCAAAGATACATACTGACCATATCAGTGCACAGCAAAGATGCAGAGCGACATGTCAGTTGGCGGGCCCAATTTTCATATCTTCTATCAATTATCATGGGCAGTTGCATCAAGCGGATATACGCTCTGGCTTTTCGTCGCAAGCGATGTCCAGACAATTCTCCTTCCAAGCACCATCTTTGGCATCACCAATGCTCTCGCCTCTCTGGACTTGCGCGACGTTCAGTCTCAACTTCCCGCATACCTAAATACAGTCCAACGAATACCTCTGATCATTGGCTGGGTCGGGATCAATCTTCTTCCCCTGACGATGAACAACCAGCGCAGTCCCTCGTCCATCGCCGAAGACAGCCTCAATAAGCCCTGGCGTCCGCTCCCAAGCAGGCGTCTCTCCGGGTCCCAGGCAAAACGCCTGATGTTAGGCTTCTACGCCCTTGCACTGGTTTACAGCTTTTTTTACAGCGGCGGACACCGGCAATGTCTTGGCCTCATCGTCCTAGGCACCTGTTACAACAGCTTCGGAGCGGGTGACAACAACCCTGTGATCCGAAATATCATCAACGCATTGGGATACCTATGCTTCAACTCGGGGGCTGCAGAGGTAGCGCTTGGCTCTGGGTCTGCTGTGTTTGCAGAGTCTCCCGAAGCCAGACAGTACTCGCTCAGACTCTGGATCATGGTCATCACGGGGATCATCCTGACGACCATGCACGTGCAGGACATGTGCGATCAGGAAGGCGACGCGAAGAGGGGCCGTCGAACGCTTCCCCTCGTGATTGGGGATGCTGCGGCGCGATGGAGCATTGCACTTCCAATGCCTGTCTGGGGGGTAGTATGTCCGCTACTGGCGGGGGCTGGTCCCCTTGCTGCTGGCCTGAGCGTCGTGTTGGCCTTTGCTGTCGCCATTAGGATGCTCATGTGGCGGGATGCGGCCAGTGATCGGACGACTTTTCTGGTGTGGAATCTTTGGATCTCAGTTGTGTATATGCTTCCTCTTCTGGGGGGTGTCTCTTTGCCATCGGTGGATATATAGATGTTGGCCGGTTGCTGGGTTGATGGGTGTTGTATGTTGCAAGTTGCATGATTTGATTTAGTCTTGACTTATTGTACATTATATAGATTGTTGTTACACTAGGAGTATAAATTTCACATAAGTTCCAATATGATCTGGAAAATAATCATGCGTGAAAGTTCATGGAAACCCCTTGCTTCAGGATAGCAGATCAAGATCGTCATCAATGACGACAAGACATATCCCTTGATCGACCCTTGATATTCAAGAATCCCTCGAGCAAAACTTCTCTCAGATTTCAAATGTACTAACCAAGTATACATCACGATGAATATCCGAAACATACTCTTCCTCACCCTCCTCGGCCAACTGGCAAACAGCATACCCATCCAAGTTAACCAGCTCAACGTCGAGGCATCCTGCGAGGTCGATGGCGGCGACGAGATTGCCAATCTGGCTTGTCATAACACGGTATTTGATATTCCTTATGGCCTGACGTTGAAGAATGGATTCGGCTGAGTCGTACAGTGCGCTCTTCAGGGTCATGGGTGGACGGGGGGATATTGCGATGGGGAGCTGTAAGATTTCGCTGAATCTGAAGATGGAACTGAACTAATTGTTACAGGATATGTCATTGCACGTTTTGAGGGATAGATTGCTGGTGTTGACTATGCGTGATGAGATTAATCCACTACTCTGGCTACTGATCAAACACCGTCTCCAAATCTGTAGAAGTTCATCCATCTCTGAAGTCATCTTAGCCACTGTGACTTGTCTGGCTTGCGCGAAGCAAACGTACGTACCTTATCGTAAGGCTTGGAAGAGTCGCAGAATCGCAGATCCGTCGCCAGACGGATGACATTATCCGGGTCATGGTTGACAGTCGATGCATGAATCTGCGCTCGTCAGCATTACATCCCGCTGAAAGTGAAGGACAGGACACTACCGTATGAGGTTTGTGCAAGACGACATCACCCGCCTCATAGGCAGACACCAGCCAGCGACGGCCATGCTGCCTGGCAAACTCCACCGGCGACTCGGACAAAAGACCCGTGGCCATCATATTCGCGTTGAAAGCCGACCTGGCCTCTTCGTCGGTCAACCCCGCCTGCGTCGCCTTGGTGGTGAACTCTTCCTCGATCTTGAGTCCAACAGGGTCGCCTGATACGGTCAGCCAGTGCTAGCACTCTTCTCAAGGCACACCGCACACGAAGATGATGACATACCATCCTCGAGGTAGATCAGGCCCCCACCATTGATCTTGACATCCCCCATAGGCACCCAAGCCGTGACGCTCGTCGGCTCCCCATGCCGCAAGAAGATCTGATCATAGTGCACCCCGATGGGTTTCGTGCGGGGAGTGTTATTCCTCAGCAGCGTGCGACGGAAATTCAAGGTCTGCTCGCCCCAGCCCGTGAACCGGGCCACGAACCCGGCCAACGCCGGATGGTGGCAGAACGTCTCCGCATACCAGTCCTGGTAGTGCGCCTCGATGGCCAGATCCACAAACTGCGCCGCCTTGTCGCCCCCCGGCCGGCCGTTGTTGCCTACCGCGCCGGCGCCGATGCCTGGGTACTCGTCGGGCGACTTGGCGGGGTTGAAGATGCCTTCGACGGGGTCGGAGCCTTCTTTGAGGACGCCGGTCGGGGCGAGGAGGGAGAAGTACTGTCTGCGGGCTTCGAGGACGTCCTCGCGGGGGAGAAGGTGTTTGAGGAAGAGGTAGCCGTCTTGGTCGTAGCGATGGCGGAGTTCGTCCATGGGGAGGTCGGGGTCCGAGGGACGGAGAAGAGCGGCGTTTTCGGAGGTCAAGGGGCCATCGTTGACTTTGATGTTGTGTTCTACTGCGAGTCCGACCATTTTGATTGTTTCGAAGGGTGGAATGTACTCTTAGTTGGGGGGTGAAGCATACAGCTGAGGTTCGAACTATATATTTTTGTATTCCCCTGCAAGTGATAATACTGCCCCGCATTCATTCTGATCAACGAATCCATTCATAGGTTGATAATCCATATCGCTTTGAATATTAATGAGGTTCAGTGTAAGACAGTCGATCGTCCCCTCATGGACGTGGAATACTACTCTTTTAGGGCACGATGGGTCCATTCTCTCTCCTCCACACCGCGGGGAATCATACTCCTTATGAGAATATAGTTGACTACTCCGTACTGATCGTGAAGCATCCTGATGATGCAAGTATAGCCTTAGCCACTAGGATAATTGAAACTATTGATCGAAGTAATTACATGCTCTTAAAGGGTATCTCTGCTGAACTATCAAACACATATCACTCAGTAGTCAGTCCACTCCCCAAACGTCCACTCTCCCACCTCATCCCCAACCACCAACTCCATCGTCGTAAACACAATCTTCTCATACAGCTCTCTCGCAGCCCCTCTAGCCCTCCGATGCCACGGCCCCGTCCCTCCCCGATGCGCATCCTCCCGACTCCGCCAGAGACCTACCCAGTCAACACCACCATCCAAAAAGAAAACAAAGGAAGACTTACAAGTCGCCAGATTCTCCCTCCGCCCATTCTTCGTCCCAAACCAATACTTGAGTAACCCCCCACTCGCCACAGCCTCCTGATGCGACCGCGCATCCAGCTCATGCAGTCGGTCCCCGTCCGCGCCCGCCAACAACGTCGACCGGAACACCACGACGTAGAAGCGCGTCCGGGACCAGACGTGACCCTCGCGGATGCTCAGATCACGCAGGAACGCAAAGACAGAGGACCAGTTGAAGGAGTCCGCGTACGGGGCTGTGGCGTAGTCGTCGCGCACGGGGTGGAGGATTGTCAGGGCCTGTGCGAGGAGGCGGTTGGGGGTATCGAGGCTTTGGAGGTTGAGGAGGTGGAGGGCGGAGTTGTAGGGTGATGCGATGAGGGAGTGAGCCTGTGGATCCGATTTCGAGTTTGATTTTGATTCTGCTGGGCTGTTGATGTCTTGATGGGGGCTGAAGCGCAGCTGGAGGGATGCGGCGGCGTGGAATTTCAGCGCGTCCATGTCGGATGTGACCAGGCTGTGATGGAAGAGCGAGAGCGGGCGTCTTTTGGCCGGGGAGGCTTGTTCTTGTTCCTCGGTGAGTACTGCTGCTGAGAGCACCGAGTCTTGTATCCCCGGGGCCATGGTGGTGATTGTGTACCGACACTGTTCTCTTCCTCGACCCCGACTTCACCTCAAAAGAATGACGGTCAATGGTAGCGAAGGACTATTCAGACAGGAAACAACTGACTACAGATATCAAGTGAAGGAGAAGCGCAATTTATAAGACAATGCTGACTGAGCACGCAATATCCCGACATGATGGTTCTTTGCTTCGTGAAACGCCCCCGGCCCACATGCATACATGGATGGATTCATCCCTTGATTTTGTTCATGATCACTAGTTGAGTGAATGGGTTACTGATTATGACTTTCGGCTGCTTAGGGCGACAGTCAGGGTGTGTGATATGTGTGATATGTGTGAGACTATCACCCTGTCTATACTCTATAATATGCCGAGGACACACATTCTTGATGCTCAGCAATGGCAATCATACTAGATAAATCAAATAGCATTGCGCCAAATTCTGCAGACGCACGCCATCGCCGCTCATTCGGGAAGAAAGTGAACCGTGGCTCGCCCCGGGTATTCCACCACTCGGTTCTACGGACTCGGTACATTAACAATATGGATATCCTTTAAGATCTATTATTTTTGGTATCATGATTGCAAACCCCAACCAACGCCGTCAATGCTCAACATTCAACACAATCAGAAACATGGCTATGGCTATGGCTTCACAGGCGGAGGAGGTGGCGCCATCTTGCCCTCGCCTGTATCGACCTTCTTCCTGGCGGGCAATGGGGGCACTTTGAACCCGCCATTCTCCCCGCTGTTTGTACTACTGCTCTGACCGCCCACCTGCGTGAAGGTGCCTGATTTGAACCATCGATCCTCCTCCGCCTTGCGCTTGCGCTGTAGCTCGGCTTGCGCCTTGGGATCAACAAGCTCAAGACCTTGCACAGGGGTAAAGGCAATCGTACTGGCCGTGCCGGCCGTGCCTGCCAATGACGGACCCACTCCCGAGGTTCGCAGACCTTTTGCCTGGAGGACACTCGCAGTGCCGCCTGCGCCGCCCGCACCCGCACCGAACCCACGCAGAGAAGATGCGGTCCCGCTGACCGGGGTTGCCGCGCCCCAGCCCTTGTTCGACTTGCTGAGCTTGGCCCGGGTTCTCTGGTCGATTTGAGTCGCCCGGATCCGTCCGTCGTTCTGCTGCCCCAGCATACCCAGACCAACGGTGCCTTCGCCGGTGCCATAGCCGACTTCTGCCTCCTCCTTGCCGAATGCCACCCGGTTCTGCGCCTTCCGTAGCTCAGTCATGGCGATTGCTTCCTTGGCCTTTCTCGCTCTCCGTCCACCTCGTTTTCTCGAGGGTTTGTCATCAGGCGCCGGAAGCGCCCTCGCACCGGAGTTCGGAGGAGGCTCGGTCAACTTTTCCAAGCGTTGATAGCACTGTTGTTTCAATTCCTCGCCCAAAGAGCCATCGGGGCTGTACTTCGCCACATCCGCGCGAGTCGCTAGAACCATCTTAGCCGAGACGATTCGGATTGCTTGTTTCTTTAGATCATTCGGAATATCTTTAATGAGTGGCGAGTGGTAGAGAAAACCTTGCGCTCTGATACCGATATTTGTAGCAAATCCTAACCCTTCCGATCTCTTGGAGCCCTGCGCGGCCAGATTGCACGCGGGGATCTTGGCCAGTTCCTTCAGCCCACCGGTCTGGTTGAGAAACTGGGCGGCAGTCTCGGGTCCGATCAAAGCGGCAAGATTAGGTGCAATCTGGCTCATGCGCGACTGAATGCTCTGTGTAAGCGCGGTCCGCTCGCGGTCTAGCTTGAGAATCCTCTCACAGGTGTCCAGCACGGCCTTGAGCTCGGACTCTGTCATTTCACGCCCACGCGTCGTCGTTCCCTCCACAGCGACAACCATGAGCGACGGACCGTCCAGGATGGACTTGAGTGGCGCGCCGACCATGTTGTCGGCCGAGGACGAGAGGGCCTTGATATCGTTAAGAGGGCCATTTTTCAAGATGGCAACGGTTTTAGCGTAGTCAATAGGATTCGTGACAAGGGTTTCTAGCTCGGGAAATCTGATCGAGTAGTGGTCTCGTAGGCTCTTGTGAAGGCGTGTGAGTTCGTCGGTGGTCGACACGGCGACGTCAAACTCGTTGGTGACTTCGGGCGCTGGCTGTTGCACCTCTTCCCCGACATCCTCTTCGATCTCCTCACCGGCCTGGAACTCCTCCTCATCCTCTTCGAAATCTCTCAAAAGCTCCTCCGCGTTCGACATGATGGCGGCAATGTAAAAACAGGCAACCGCTGAAGCAGTGTTGCAGCTGGTCAAGTGAAATACCGTCGTCGGCCCGCCACTACTAGGAAGGGACCACCGCTTAGTCATCCGGGTGGCGTCATAGACCCGGAGCGCAGCTTTCGACTTTTGACTGAAGAGAACCAACGGACTGCTTGACAACGATCCACTGGAGTTGGGGATCCAACATCCCGATTTTGGTTGCTGAGCGAGCCACACTTTCCGAAGGGTGTGTTATCTGTATCTACGCGTACAATCGAAAGTGAACCTGCCATCTCCGCTTGCTGATACCTGACCCATCGTCACCATGGAGTCGTCTCGCGGCCCTCCCAGGGTCAAGAACAAGGCCCCCGCGCCGATCCAGATCTCAGCGGAGCAGCTGCTCCGCGAGGCGGTTGACCGGCAGGAGCCCGCGTTGCAGGCGCCGACGCAGCGATTCGCGGACCTCGAAGAACTGCACGAGTACCAGGGCCGCAAGCGAAAGGAGTTTGAAGACTATGTGCGCCGCAATCGGATTAACATGAACAACTGGATGCGGTATGCAGCCTGGGAACTGGAGCAGAAGGAATTCCGGCGGGCGCGATCGATCTTTGAGCGGGCGCTGGACGTCAACCCGACCTCGGTGGTGCTCTGGATCCGGTACATCGAGTCGGAGATGCGGAATCGCAACATCAACCATGCGAGGAACTTGCTGGACCGGGCGGTCACCATCTTGCCCCGGGTGGACAAGCTCTGGTACAAGTATGTGTACATGGAGGAGACGCTGGGGAATATTCCGGGCACGCGGCAGGTGTTTGAGCGGTGGATGTCATGGGAGCCGGAGGAGGGCGCCTGGAGTGCGTATATCAAGCTTGAGAAGCGGTACAATGAGTTTGAGCGCGCGCGCGCGATCTTCCAGCGGTTTACTATCGTTCACCCGGAGCCGAGGAACTGGATCAAATGGGCCCGGTTCGAGGAGGAGTATGGGACGAGTGAGTTGGTGCGGGAAGTCTACGGGATGGCGATTGAGACCCTGGGGGAGGATTTCATGGATGAGAAGCTCTTCATCGCGTACGCCAAGTTCGAGGCGAAGCTCAAGGAGTATGAGCGGGCGCGAGCGATCTACAAGTACGCCTTGGACCGGCTGCCCCGTTCCAAGGCGATGGCGCTTCACAAGGCCTACACAACGTTCGAGAAGCAGTTCGGCGACCGGGAGGGCGTCGAGGATGTGATCCTGTCCAAGCGCCGGGTGCAATACGAGGAACAGCTCAAGGAGAACCCGCGAAACTACGATGTCTGGTTTGACTTTGCACGGTTGGAAGAAACGTCGGGCGATCCGGACCGGGTTCGAGATGTCTATGAACGGGCGATTGCGCAGATCCCTCCGTCGCAGGAGAAGCGGCACTGGCGACGGTACATCTACCTGTGGATCTTCTACGCCATCTGGGAGGAGATGGAGGCCAAGGACGTTGACCGGGCCCGCCAGATCTACACGGAATGCCTGAAGCTGGTCCCCCACAAGAAGTTTACATTTGCCAAGATCTGGCTGCTGAAAGCGCAGTTCGACATCCGCCAGATGGATCTGCCGGCGGCGCGCAAGACGCTGGGCCAGGCGATTGGGATGTGCCCCAAGGACAAGGTCTTCCGGGGTTACATCGACCTCGAGCGGCAGCTGTTCGAGTTCGTGCGGTGCCGGACCCTGTACGAAAAGCAGATCGAATGGAACCCGTCCAACAGCCAATCGTGGATCCAGTACGCTGAACTGGAACGGGGCCTGGATGACTCGGAGCGTGCTCGGGCGATTTTCGAGCTGGGGATCGACCAGCCGACGCTGGATATGCCGGAGCTCGTGTGGAAGGCGTACATTGACTTTGAAGAGTACGAAGGCGAGTACGACCGGGTGCGGCAGCTGTACGAGCGTCTCCTGCAGAAGACGGACCATGTCAAGGTGTGGATCAACTACGCGCGGTTCGAGATCAACGTGCCGGAGGAGGAGGAAGAAGAAGAGGAGGAAGAGGAGGAGCGGCCGGTCAGCGAGGAGGCCAAGCGGCGGGCGCGCGCGGTGTTCGAACGGGCGCACAAGGTGTTCAAGGAGAAGGAGATGAAGGAAGAGGTGAGTTTATGGCGCTTTGGGCTTGTGGCGATGACACTGACGAAGCTACAGCGAGTGGAACTTCTCAATGCCTGGCGGGCCTTCGAACATACGCACGGATCACCCGAGGACATCGACAAGATCGAGAAGCAGATGCCGCGGCGGGTCAAGAAGCGACGCAAGCTGGACGACGACCGGTACGAGGAGTACATGGACTATGTGTTCCCGGCGGACGACCAGTCCGCGGCGAACCTGTCGAAACTGCTGCAGAAGGCGCACGAATGGAAGATGGCTCAGGGGCAGGCATGACGGCCGAATGTTTGAAAGTGTCTACAATCTCCAGCTTAGTACACTACGGAGCAATTGAGGTCAAAGATACCAGATCAATAGCATTTACTCTATCTATCTAGGTCTTGTAGTCGGTAGACCATATGATGATGGAGTACTTAGTACACTGGGCTAAGCCAAGCCAAAGTGGATCTGTACCAGCCTAAGCGAACAATCCTGGATTCTCCATAACCAAGAGACCCGTCGTTTGAAAAGCGGATGGCTGGTGGGACTGTCTCTGGTTGATATCCAGTTAGTGGTGACCTACATATGTGACTCGATCCGAATTCATTTCTTGATGTTGGGTAATATCCAGCCAGAATCATAATCATCAATTATTCAGACAGAGTCAACTGTTGCTTCATGTTCCTGCATCTCTCTCTGGTTGTGCCTGACTAGTAATAGGTACATCTTGGCATTAATTTACTGATTAAAGTAGGTTTAGATTGCTGAACGGGAAGAAAGGGGGAAAGTTTCTGATACATAGTAGTGAAGAACGAAATCATGACAATCAATAAGGTATTCCTAGGATGAAAGACCATGACGCTGTTTGTTGATTATTTGACCCCTGAAATTAGTCTCAAGGTACTCTGCTGTGCCTTGATGCAAGGTTCGCTGCACAGGAGATGAATGTCTAGAAGATGTTTATTATTCAAGTCTAGACTAGAATAATAATAATTGACGAGTATGAAGTCTGTCTGTCGTCTATCAAGGGATCTTCCGATCATCTTTGACTCTGATGAATGATGATGATAGTGATGAGCACAGACTATCCCAGGTACTCTAACCATAACTAAGGGAGTCCCTGATTGTCTCTGTCTCTCTTTTCTCTATCTATCTTCTGCTTCGTTTCTCTCTCTCTCTCTCTCTTTTCATCACACCTCGTGCTGGTTCCCTCCCTCCCTCTTTTCTTTTTCTGTCTTCATCTCAACCAACGACTAGACAAATCAAACCTGTAAGTCCTCAAGTCCTCAAGTTCACTCTCTCTCCGAGCCACCCCCTCGTGCTGCTCTCCAGAACCGTCGTTTCATCTTTTCCTCCGTTCCGCGGTCGTGTACCACAGTAGTCTGTCTACATTATCTATTGTCTACTGTCTCTGTCTATCTACTACTGTCTACTATGATGACTCTTTTCTCTTAATCCATCTCCTGATTATTCCATTGCAGCCTCTGGAGTCCTTCCATTCCTTCAGCCCATCTCTCCCGCTTTCTCCCCTTCTTGTCGTTCGTTACTCAGGTAGACCCTTGACCCGTATCATTATCCTTCTTATTCTGACTCTGCGATCACCCCTGAAGCGTTGGACTCGAATTGATATTGACATCATCCTACCCGCCCAGTTCGCCATTCCTTCGTTACTCGGTCTTGATTCCACCAGTATTGCATGATCGCATTCCACTCTTCACGTTCAGTCTGCGACTCTATCACTCTAGATCAATCCGCTTCATTCATTCAACTCGACCGCATCACCAGACACGTGGAGGACCATACATTCTATGACCAGCACCCACTTTCTTTTCAACTCTGGAATCATCTTCGTCGCCAAACCACTCGTCAATCAGACGACTTGTTCATTCCGACCATGAGATAGCACTCTGGCAGTCACCGTTCATTCCCTGGATCCGTCAATTCGTCCTCCTTCTCGACCTCTGACGGCTGGTTATCAACTGATTGTCTTCGGCTGGTCTCCTCAAAGAACTCATTTCCGCATCGCACTCCCTCATTTCCAACTAAAATCTCCTATCGATATGATAGTTCCAAAGCCCCCTGTAAAATTGGAGGGCCATTGCTCGGTCATTCACAACAACACCCTCTACACCTACTCCACCAATGGATTCGCATCCATCCCCCTCGAGCGCAATGGAACCTGGAGTCAATTGCGCATGGGAGACCCGGTCTCCGATGCGGTATGTGTGACAGGCGGAATAGACGGTAAGGAAGACCAACAGGCGCTCTACGTGATCGGTGGCACGGGCTCTTCGACTCCTGCAGGGTTGCAGCGATACGCTTTCAGCACCAAAGAGTGGACGACCATGCAGTCAGCTCAGCAGACTATGCAAAATCGGACTTCTCACGGCGCGGTATATCTGAAATCTTCGTCCATTCTGCTGGTCTACGCCGGTAGTCGGACGGATGGCTCGAAACCTTCGTCAGACACGTTTACTATCAGCACCGTTCCTCCGTATACCGTCGACGCTCATTCAGCAAAGTACCCCACCGCGTCACCTGTGCTTCTGCCTTGGAGCGATAGCGAAGCGGCTTTGGTAGGTGGTTCGACGACTCCCAAACAGGTCCATCTATTCTCGGTCTCGGATGGCTGGCATTCCTCCGGTGTATTCCTCCCCCAGCCTCTGTCCGGCGATGTGAGATGCGCCATAGTAAATGGATCGGACGGAAGCAAGGCGCTTGAGTCATTCGATATGAACGCCTCGCCCAACACCGTGAATAGCGTCGCATTGCTCAATCCCGGTGGTCAGCCGGCGCGCCCTGGCACAGTTTTGGGGGCGTCGTCCTCGACGAGAAGAAGGAGAAGGGATGTTTCCGTGGCCAATTATCCGACATACGACGGAACTTTAGCATCATCAACGACCAGATCGCACTACTCTCTCGCCCAAGGCGATAACGGATTGGTTGTCATCTCCAGCGGCAGTGGCACCGATTCCCTGGCCATCTTCAACCAGACATCTAATGGCTGGGTCAACGCAACCAAACTCTTCTACGGAGACGAATCTTCCCAGCAGATCCTCGCTTCAATCGCAACAACAACATCATCCTCTTCTACGCCAACCGCCACCGGCACCAGTTCGAGTACCAGTACGAGCACCGCCGCCAGTGATGATTCATCTGGCACCAGGGTTGGTACGATCATCGGAGCAACTCTTGGCAGTCTGGTGGGCATTATCCTAATCCTAATCTTAATTCTCTTCTTCCTGCATCGCACGAAGCTGGGTCGCAAGCGTGCCAACCAGGGCCACGGCGGCGCCAATGACAAGGACCGCCTGAGCTTCCAGGATCAGGGCATGGAACCTCTGACTCGGTCGGCCTATCCCATGGCCAAGAGTCCAGTTCCGCTAGCGTCCACATCGGTAGACTCGCTCGCCATCTTCTCTGGCAGGGCGGGCGATGAAAAGTCTCCCAGGGCAGCCGGTGGATTCCCAGGCTATGCACCAAAATCGACGTCGCTCAAGCCGAGTCCTCTGACCACCGTCCAGTCCAACGGTGACTGGACGCCGTCCAGCACGTCCTCGGTCGGTGCGGACAAGGCCATCGAGGCGCAAGACCTGGCCCTCGCGGGTAAACCGCCCGGGGACCGCACCACGGACGAGGGCTGGGGCAAGTACTTCCAAGACAACAACGGCACCAATACCAGCCTAGCCAACACCGCGTCCGTCGCGGCCCCTCGGTCGAATGCGGAGGAGCGGATCAGCGCCTGGCCCGGGGCCACCCTCGCCCCGTTGAACTTTGGCTTTCTGGAGGAACCCAAGCCGCTCGGCCGGGTGGTCACTGGCAGCCCCACGACCGAGAACGGACCCAAGATCAGCCAGATGCTGCGGCGCGCCGAGTCGCAGTCCGCCCGCATCTCCAGCGCCAGCTCCCTGAGCGCCGCCTCGGACACGGATTACGATCACGACCATGACCGCCGCGACGGCGCCTCGACGATCAGCATTCCGGCCCCGGATCCGCACTGGCGCGGCGCCCCGCACCACAGCTGGATCGGCCGTCCGCCCAGCAGCACCTACAGCCGCAGCTTCTACAACCCCAGCGGCCGCGAACGGGACACCATCAACACGCGCGGCTCGAGCGTCCTGATCCCGGATGCACTGGAGCCCTTGCCGACCACGCCATTGCCAACCACGCCCTTCCCAGCCGCAACTGCGACCGCGAACTCACGCACGAACCCGAACTCGGATCTGAGCTGGCTGAACCTCAACGCCGATCGATAGATCTCGCCGGCGTCCGGTTGCTATGGCAGTCTAGCCACCGCCACCGTATCTGTTCATCTCGCATCAAGCATTAGCATCAGTCACCTGCATTTGATTCGATCCGGCTTCTGTAAGAGAGCGAGCGTTGAAGCGTTCCCGTCTGAGTATGTTTGTCTGCTTCTATAATTTCCCACCCTATCTGTCATTGAGTCGTCCATGTGATTCGGTCCGTCTCTGTCTACGTGTTATCCACCCTCCTCGTGTTAAAAGAGCATCTGAAAGGCGTGGTGTTTGTGTGTGTGTATTGATTCGATCCCTCTGTATCTCACTATCTCACTATCTCTCTATCTCTTTTCGTCTCCGTCTTTGTCTTGTCACTGGCTTGGACTGTACATAGACTTTTTTTGTCTTGTTTCTTGATTTCAAGGGTTCCCTCGGTATGGATACCGATCACAACCCCGTCTGTCTGAATGGATCCACGCCATATGCATCGTGGACTGATGCCAGGTTACACATTATCTATTTCGTTTACTCGCACGCAGATCAAACCAGTAAAAGGGCGCATGTATTATTCTGCAGAGAGGAATCAGGCTATCAAAGACATTCTAATCCTAGACTCGATACACATGAACGCTGGGGGACAGATTGAAAAGGAAGAGCGGGAGCAAACCGAAAGTCGTCACTTCGTGATACCGTATCGTGTCATCATAATCATTCCCAGCCTCCGGAAACCTACTAGAACCAAACCCATCAGGGAACTCACTCAACTCCAATACGAAGACCGAGATCCCGTATCCGCCCCGACACTCGGCGATCGGACCGTGTGAGCCCGCGAGCGCGAGTATCCCGAAGGACTGGCGTTCTCCTCGATCTCGTCCGGGTAGACCGTCCGCCGGGGGGGCTGGCTGCGCATGCGCCGGTGGCGCTTCTGGCGATGTTCCTCGCATTTCTTCTTGAACTCGGCGCGCTCCTTGCGTTTCTCGTCGGCTTCCTTCCACTCCGAGACGGCGCCCTTGATGCCCAGCGCGGTCAGGCCGATGCTGGCGGCGTCGGCCAGGTTGGCCTTGATCCGGCGCCGGCGGGCCTCCTCGGGCGACATCTCGCCCTCCTTCACCAGCCGCATGCGCTGCTTGCGCTTCTCCATGTTCTTGTGCAGCCCGTGTGCTGCGTGGATCGTCGCCACGGTGGCCAGACCCGCCGTCACCAGGGCCTGCTGGTCGAGCTTCCTGCGTCGCTTGCCCTCATCGGAACTGTTTCCCAGGTCAGAAGATGAATCCTTGTCCGAGGTGGAGTGGTGGTCGTCGTCGCCGTCCATAGCCTGTAAGCCCCTGGCTCCCGACGTAGTGGTGGTGGTGGAAGAACTTGGTGGTTGCATGCCATAAACAGAACGAGGTCGACCTACTTCTCTGGAGTGCCTGGCCCGTCTGGGCCCATACTCACTATCCCGATCGCTGTCCGAGTAGTCATCGTAGCGCGAGGACCGCCCCCGATGTCTTCCTCGCCGGCCATCCTTGTCCTTGTCCTTGTCCTTGTCCCCCAGGCCCAGCGCTTCCATGCCTTGGTTGATGTAGTCCGTCACGCTCTTGCTCCGCTTGTGCGAGCGATGGCGACGCGGCGAGCCGCTATCATCGTAGCTGTCGCGGGAGCTGGACCGGCCCCGATGACGGGACCGGGAGCGGGACTTGAAGCGCTCGTAGGCCTCCTTGCCGACTGCAGCCAGCGCGCCCGTGGCGGCGAGGTTCTTGAGCTTGCTCTGGCTGTCGGAGCGGCGACCGCGGGATTTGGACCTCGACCTGGACCGTGGCCCATTCACGAAATGGTTGGCCGCCAGCCCCGCGAGCGTGGACTCGATGATGTGGCGCTTCGAGTGCTTGTTCGGGTCACGGTCGACCAGCCCATCTGTACCCGCGGCGGTAATTGCAGCCGTGAGGACCCGTTTCCCTTTCTCGCCTGCCCACTCGCCGGGTTCCTTGCGAACACGGAAGGCCTCGACGGCTCCCGCAGTCAGCGCGGCCTTGACAGCCTGAGCCATGCGCTGCTCGCTCTTGTCCCGACGGTGACGGCTTCGGCTGCGGGAGCGCGAGGGGGAGTACGAGTAGGACCCGCCATGGTGACCATAGGAGCGACCCCGGCTATGATCGCGATGTCTGGAAGCCGAGGATGCCGCCGCTCCCAGACCAAGAGCGCCCAGAGCCTGCTCGGAAAAGGACTTGCGCCGTCTACGGGGCGGAGAGCGGCTGCTTGATGGAGAACGGGAGTATTTGTGGCGGTCAACTACACTCGTCAGCACTCAAATTCCCTTTGACTTCTTTTCTTCTCAATCAATGTCCCCATCTATCGTTCCCTAAGGTAATACATACGTCTATCGCCCTCATGCCTCGAACGACGCTCATGGCGGGGTCGATACGAGTACTCCGAGTCCTCGTAATAGGCGCCCCGCCCGCCGTTCAGCGAATGGGATCTGCGCACACCCTCCTGCACGGTAGCTACTCGAGACCGTCTTGGATTCGGGGGGTATCCGTAACCGTATTCGTAGCCGTAATCGCTGGGGGGGTAATGACGGGGCAGGTCATTCACGGACTCGCTGCTTCCGTTGCGACGACGGACAAGATCCGTTGGGGGACGACTCCGAGGGTCAGCATAGTAGTAAGGGTCCTCCTCGTAGCCGGGGCCGGGCCGGGCATATCGATCGCGGGCGGGATGGTAGTGACGATCGTCGTAGTAGGCCATTGTCAACAGCGTAGCACTCGCTGGGATGGAGTAGTTGAATCTAAACGAGATGAAGGCGATGCATATGGATGAGAGAAGGATGAAGATGCGACGGGGGGGGATGGAAAGAAAGATGGCCAAGATGAAAGGAGGAAGGGAAGGATGAAAGGTAAAGAAAGCAACGCCCAAAGGGCCAAAGCGGGGCAAAACAAGCCGGGGGTGAAAAGAAGCGCCTGTGACGTATCTGGATGGAACTTGTGAAACTCGAGTCGAATGAGAAGGGTTTCACTGGACATTCGCCCTCTCGAGGCGGTGCTCAAGTCGATGCTTGAGCCGATGACTGTGGCATGATATGATGTCTCTCTTTCATCTTTTCGCTTGTGGCTCAGCATCTTCTTCTTTGCCTGATACTATACTACTCTCTCTGGCCTCAGGCACTCGCTGTAAGCTATCTGTTTACTCAGGTATCCATCAGGCTGTCAGGCATCTATTGACAGGGGCTGGGCATCAAATTAGATAATCAGGCATTCAGGCACTACATCATGCTGCATTGCCTGATATGGATCTTCTATTCATCAGTAGAAAGGTATCCGTTGGCTTATTTCTCGCCTTGTGCACTACCTGCTATGGTAGTGATCTAGAGCTTATCCGGCTCCATCTCTGGATCCATCGGTCCCTGTTCCAGTCTTTCCTAGGTATGTTTCCAGAAGCTCTACGTACCGTGGTTCCAGTGCAATAAGATCCAGCCAGCGTTGGGCGTTGGCCTACTAGAACTGTCTGCCTGTCTAAGCTTTTGCTCTCTATACTCGACCAAACTATGAGTAGAGCAGACTTTCAAAGGCCACTATAAAAATTATACGCGGCAACGATTCTTACCGGTAATTGAGAATGATATCTCGTATCATTTAGGGATGATAGCTTCCTTTCGCTAACCATCGGCAATCGACATAGAGAATACTGTACATGGCGGCAAGGCCCTTCGTGGCCATCCTCAGACAACGGGTCATGGTATGCAAGCAGAATGAAAAGACATGTGGAGAAATGAAAAAAAGATAGAAGAAACGCTGAAGAGCCGGTCGCACAAATCCAAATATGAACAACAGGTAATTCGATCGGGAAATCATGCATGAAGATGATACAAGGTATATACAAGTCATTCCACCCGACCGGAATCCGTAGTGATGATTCTGACCCCCTTTACCCGTTCTTTCCCAGACGGTGGAGGTCAAAAAGACTCTGAGATAAAGAAATGTTTCAAAGAGAGGGTGCTGCACAGCAGCCACCGTTTGCGCCTCCCATGAGTGCGACCCCTTGATATAAACGCCGTGACTCCAAAGGAATCAAAAGCCGGACCTATTGAGATTGATCGTCCAGCTGAACAGAAGGAAAATGTGAATAGAAGATATGGCATCCCTGTCCTTTGCCTCACAACCTTTTCGTGAATTGTCTTTTATGCTCTTCAACTCATGTTTCACCTCAGGCATCGGCTTCTCATTATCAACTCAAACAAGGTCATCAACTCAGTAAGGCGAATGCCGACGATGGCTTCCGCTAGACGTCGTCATATTCATGGTACTCATGCTGCGGTGATAGACGTTCCCATCCGTCTGCGACTGACTCGCCGACCGCGAATGGCTATATAGAGGGCTGGTCCGCCCCGTTGCCCATCGGCCGCTGGCGGTCTCGCCATCGCGCTCGACCGTTCCCGCAGGCGTGTCTTCTGAATGCGTGCGGTGAGTACGGATATGTTGTTTCATGTTATCCTTTCGAGTAAAAGCCTTGTTGCATATGGGACAATGCACGCTCTTCTCTCCCGTGTGTTTCTTGCCGTGGCGTGCGGCGTGTCCCGAAGTTGTGAAAGTCGCTGAACATCCATGGCTGGCAGCGAAGGGACAAGGGTATTTGTTCTTTCTGGTCCCTTTGGCACCGGCTGCATCTTTAGATCCGCCAATGGATCTGGGCGGGGATGGGGCATCGGACACCGAGTTACCGCTCAGACGCTTCTCGGCGGGTGCTATTGTGGGAGGGGGATACCCGTAGGAATCTTGCCGGCCAGAGCGATAGTAACCGGCCGCGCTGTTGTGAGTGATGTAGTCGTAGGAAGAGCAATCAGAGGAGCCAGGTGACGCGGGCTGCATCGCTTCCGAAACCGGGTCAAACGGCTGTCGTTTTACCCTGCCGGGTGATCGTGCAGTCGACTCTGTGTAGGGAGCTCCATAGCTGTAATCGGGTAACGAAGTTCGCGGCTGCTGCTCTGACTGATAGGAGTATGATGAAGAGGTGGATGGCTGTCTGGATATTTCAGGGCTTGATCGAACTGCAAATGACGGATGGTCATCATTGTTCAAGATGGAAACAAAGCTTGACTTGCAGCTGGCCATCTCCTGACCCAACAGTCTTACTGAATGTACCTAGAATAAGGGATGACTGATTAGCTCTTTGTTTAGCTTTTTGTCTGTTATTACCGCTCAGTCCATCCTTGATCTCCTCCGGCTTGCTTTCTTCTCCCGTTCTCTCTTCTTTCCATGATCGATTTAAGACTGTGTGACCGAGACCACAAAAGCCTACTCGTCCATCACAAATGAAAATGCCCAGAGAAAGCAGAAGATAAAAGCACGGAAGAGATAGAAGCGTATGGGAAAGAGTCGAAAAAAGAAGAGTCCTAGATATGAAAGAAAGAAGGACGAACCAGCTGTATTTGAAGTGTTTGTTCTTTCGCTCGTGTAACACGACCCGATCTGCAGAGAGAGCAATTGTGTGCGCAGACCAGACAGCAGCCTGATAAGTAAACTCGCCTTACGGTCTGTCTTGACGCTGCTGGATTCCCGGATGGGTCTCTCACAGCCCTTTTGATCGTAAGAAGAGCCAAGGGCCAAGAACGATCCACCACCAACCGATAGAAGTCGGTATGGTGCAATTATCGCAAAACAAAGCCCCCTTTCCTCTTGGCAAAAAGAAATCGACTGTCGGAGGGTTGCGATGTCCTTGACAGACGTTTTAAACTGGCCTGGTCGTACCGCTCGCCTTATGTCAAGACAGAAAACTCGCCAAAATTTCTTTGGCCACGGATGAATCAGGGCTCTCGCAACAGCCTTTTAGAAAAGTGCACGACGAGAAAAATAGCGGCACGAGAAAAATAATAGAGCCCAAGGTTCTAGTTCATGTGCGATAATGGATTCAGCGGTAGTTGAGATGGCCACCACGGATGATACTGATGACGGAACTGACGAAGATAGTAAACTGGGTGGCTGATAGATCTCTCAATGGGGCACTAGTCCGGTAAATGCTTGGTGAAAGGAGGAGAGATGATATGTCAATGGTAGACGGAAGATGCGAAAGTGATTATAGAGGACGGTGGAGGGAAGGGTCGAATTAGGAAAGAGAAAAGAGAGTAGAGGAGAAGAGAGAGAGAGAGAAGCGGAATCAGGTTGATGATAGGAGAAAAGATGATAAATGACAGGAAGAAAAGAGAACGGGGAGAGGGAGCAGAGAGAGGGAATTATGAAGCCGAAGAGAAAGAGGATAAAGGAAGAAGACGACGACGACGACGACAACGACAACGACAACGACAACGACAACGACGACGGCGAAGACTGACTACTGAGGTTAACAGGAGCATCTTGAAACCCGTCCAGGGTCTTTGGAGGAGCTCTGGCCATGTTGAAAGTCAGTTGAGTGCGAGTTAACTAGTGTCTTGGTGGTTTTGGTCGTCGAGTACAAGAATCCACACCACTAGTGGAGGGAGTGGAGCAGAAAGTAGGCATCTTCATTTGTAGAATGCTAGACCAGAATATCCAATCAATCCAGATGGAAACAATAATGAATGGATGCTGATTATTTTGATATGTAGACGGATGGTCCTAAGTCCGTCTGTGTTTGTTTGATGACAGTGGAGGGGTCACCTATTACAAGCACATAGACGGAGTACGGAGTCAAGAAAGGCCGGTACCCATTCTAGAGCCGAGATTTTCAAGAAAACAGCAATAGGAATCAGAGTGTTTATCTGATTGAATATCCTCTGACGCCCTGAAAATAATGAGATTCTGTCTAAGTTCGAAATATGGAACAAATGCATACGCATTCTCAAGGAGTTCTAGGAAGATTACTCCATAGTCCGTACCATAATGTGGCTCAGGTATCTCCGAAGTACATCCACAACTTGGGCACACTAGTTGGCTGGTGCTGGGAACCGCTGTCCACGCAACTTGACGAGCCCATAAACGGGGCAGATGTCAACAACTATCCGTAACAGTACGTAGTAAGAGAAAGTTATGGAACCCACCCCAAGGAACAGCCACACTATTGTGGGTGCGAGACGATTACTCCGTAGGGTACGTACCTGAGGAATCTAGGTACTCTAGTCAACGGGGATCAATTACTCCGCTGACTACGCCAGAGGGCTCTGTCATGTACTGGTAGTACGGAGTATGTTGATCCCAGTCTACCACAGACTGCAATAATACCCTGAAGCTGAGCTGAAAGGGACAATAAGTATTAAGACTTAATTGGTTTCGGTACCTAATCTTCCGCCGTGATGTATACTTTACTAGGTACTGTACCTATGTAAAGTGTAGACTCAGACCCTTCATTTGCAGACCCCTCAGAACCCCGTTCCAACCAGATCTATCACTCCACTGTCATTGGCTGCGCCCCTGACTGATACGTGTGCCTGTCGTCAGCTAGATAGTCTAGGGCAGGGAGTAAATAAATAAATAATAATAGGTAGATACTGTAGATATGTTTTTGAGCAAACGGGATGAGATTTGAGGGAAGGGAGTGGCTCCGGCTAGTTCGGCTGTGGTGCCATTATTGATGTGGTATTGTGGTGTCTTGTGGAAGTTGACTAAAAAGTTCTAAAAGTTCAAGAGTCCCTGTTCCTAGTAGAAGTGACTAACCCAAGATTAATTAGGTTAGGCTCGGCTACCAATGACAAGGGAGGAATTGATTGTTGGTGTCCTTAGCATTTATAACCATGGAGTCTTGAGTCTTGAGCGCAGAGTGGTGGTTAACTAATTGGGTAATGCATACGTACTTCGTTCCTCTGGGGGGAAATTTCTGCATAAAAATCCAAAGTACAGAGTAAGAATCTCAAATACCAAGTATCTTCTTCAGGTTACTTAAGGTAGGTACCTACCTCTCAGGTACTAAGGTACCCAAGTTCCTGCACGAGCATACCATAAACTTTAACAGGTAAGGTATTGGGATTACCAAAACCAAGTAGGTATCTGTCTTGAGGTTTATTCGATTATTTACTCCCTGGATCAACGAAAAAAGAGTCCCAAACCCTGTACCCTATTCATCAGATTAAATCTATGTCAATTGTGCTGTATACTGATAAGTAGGTGGTTTTGGCAGCTCGTGCCTGCAAGAAAATGCTTTGCCTATCATGACCGGGTTTGGTCTTCGTCTACTCCGTACTCCGTCTACTCTATCTGTGAAATATCCCCGGGGAACAGAGCTTCCGGACAAGCTTTTACCCATAACCCCCATACTTTTGAAGTCATGCAAATGCAGTCTACATTGAGTCGTCAAATTGTAATTGTAGCTTTGTTTATGTGTTCATTAAATCACTCTCAGTTCTCAGCTGAAATGGCTGTATGTCGCTTGTAAACTCATTCCTCATGATCACCGAGTTTGATTTTCCATCAGATAATCATCATCGATTATCGAATCCCTCTTTGGGTACTCTTGTCCGCCCGTCTCGGGTTTGTTAGGATCAGACTCGGGAAACCCGAGTACGCCTGTATGTAAATTAATTATTACCTCCTGTATGTGGCTGAGCTCCACCCGGGTGGATATCAGAGTTGTTTCTCTTTCCAAACAACCGTCAGGAGTATTATTCTTCAGTGCAGTCTTGTCAACTTGACTATTCCTATCCCCATTTCATTCCATTAGTGTTCTGGAAGACCAGACTATCTTGAGAAGAACAAATAGCTTCAAATCTATTTTCATACTGCGGTTTGTATACCAATAATAACACAGGAAATAGGTCAAGTCTTGATTTACGCGTCAAAATGCTGAAGGAACCAGAAGCCGCAAGCCACAAGTAGACCCTGTTTCGGATAATGGACTACATAACTCGTTTGATGATGCGTGTGTCCTTATCGCGGTCTGGTTTCCCCTTTTCTGCTAGACTGGGCATGATGTCCATGCTGAAGCAGAGCACCAGATCCAACGAGCTCGTTCAATAGTAGATCCAGCAACTTCCTCCGAAGACATGAGGGACCAAGCATACGCGTTGTCGACGTTGACTCGATAATTGAGCAGCCGCTCATAACTCCATTCTAAACAGGAGATAATGAGCATCGTGGACTCAGATATCATTAATTTCAAAGTGGCCAGTCATGTGTCTCAACTGCTAACCATCAGAGGTCATAGCCGCTGGGACTTGATCAGTACAACAGTGGATTGGCATACTCATCAGGTCATTCACATTATTGCCAAAGTGGTGAGATTCGAGCTACCCCACATAATTCCAACATACGCGTCAGGAGTTAGCAGACAGCACAAGACCTTTGTGAAGGTCCCGCGTCTTGGCCATGAAATAAGATTTGGATATTCTGACTCCTTTACCATGTCATGATCATTTCGATGGTCCGGGAATGATCAGAAAGAGCAAAGCGTCATAAACACCATGCATCTGGGTGTTTCTGACGTCAAGCAGGACTATCCAGTCAAAATGCTACGTCTCAGTTCGGAGCATGGCGCATGTGTCCTTGACTCCTTGGATGTCCCTCTTTTCCCTGAACTCCCGTCCCGTCACTCACAAGCGCAAATCGATAGACAAACCTGAGAATGCTTAACGCATAACAGCTGGTGACCAGTGATAATAACGGCTAAGCTGTTGCGGAAGTTGACACGTCGCCAAGATTCGACCAAAGCGCTGATCATCATTCGCTGAGAGTCTAGACACGGCTTATCAACATCACTGATCTGATGTTGGAGGTCATCAGCACCGTTCTTGCCTGACTCTATGGGCATGGTCATCATAAGACTGGTCTTCTGGGGCTGAGCGTTCACGCTCAATATTTTGAGCGTACATCTTGCGAGTCGCAACTGCGAGGCACTGTAAGCACATTCACCTTCTAAATATGGACCTCAAGCGAGAAAATGGGCAAGCATCGCAGCCGTGTCGAGGGTTACGTATGCCACCACTCTGCTCTAACCGTTACTGACGAAGCCATCTTGAATCATGGGACTCGACTAGAGTAGGCTAAAGCGGGCTACGTACTCCCTACAGTACCTAGCTTGGTAGTTGGTGCAATCTAATGCCGCTCTGTATGTTTCCTGTTTTCACAGTGCCCCTCACGACTATCGACTGTTCTATTATCTGAAATCTAAATGAGTTGAAGGACCCTAGCTGTGCTGCGCTTGATTAGTGAGATGCCTCATCATTGTCTTATGGACAAACGGTGTACCAGGTACCGTTAACCTCATGTCCCCCTGTTGACTCTGATGGATCGAGTAACACGGGTATCAATAATACTCCGTACCACAAATGCCGGCACCAAGGCTCACTTCATAGGTACCCGTCGTATTCGTATCCGCCAGGTACCTCGGATTAGATACGAGCCGATCATCATACGGTAAGGTATTTCCAGCGAGTCACGACATTTACAGAACACACCTCGCGTAGGTACAGCACAACCCAAGTATCATCGTGGTGATATCCCGTCCTATTACACCCAAATACCCCACCGTTCCCGATCCTATTCAATCCAAACCTCAATCGAGTCCAGATCGCGATTCTGTGTCAGACTTGCCTGGCACATGAACCATTACAAATCAGGTCATATCTCATGGACGGTGAACCGCAGTCAGGGCCTGCAAAACCGCAACCGCTGATGTATGCTGGCCCCTGTCAGTCAGAGTCAGCATCAAAGTTGCCGACTTCGGCTTAGATGCTGAGAGCTGGTAACACTTGGTCAGACTGTCAGGCTACCATGCCAAGTGCTGACGATGTCCTCACTTCTCAGCCCTAAAATCAGCTCAAGGGCCAAGAAGGGGGCCGAAAACAAGCGCCAGATCAGAGCTTTACAAGTGGTTAGAACTCAGAAACACCGTCTACTCCGTAGTTCATTTTCCTTTCTCTCTCTCTCCCTTTTTTTTATTTTATTTTTATTTTTTATTTATTTATTTTTTTTTTTTTTTTTTTCATCTTGGACCCTTGGAAACGCCCAATGTTTGATAGTCAATCTCTTTTAGATTTCGATGGCGCTTTGCATACGTAGGCATTTGCGCCTCTTCTTCAGTCCCGTGGCACTGACACTGGTAGTAGGCCGGAGATTAGGCCAGCCGTGTTGATGTAGGGTCCGAGTGGTGTTTATCTATGAAGTAAATTGTCTACTACTTGGATTTTAGACAAGGGTCTTTAGCCCTGAGCAGGCTCATAGAACAACTGCCAGGCTACCCGCGGCTGCTGCACTACCTTATCTATGCACATGTTCTATGATCCTGTTGGTCTTGTTTCGACTCGATTGTATGATGATCAGCAGTGCAACAATAATGATGTCGAGAAATATGAGATATTTACAAGGCAACTAACTACGCAGTAGAGCCCTGCCCTGCTGGTATGTGAACCTTGACGATCACAGCATCGGACAAATAATGCAATCATGCTTCTGCCGAAAGCTCCCAGTGAAACCGCCACGAGGGGTGAGAAGAGACCCAGACCCTGAGAATCGCTTGGAGTAAGTTAGTCCGGAGAATATCCGTGAGAATGGAAAGGGCAGGATCCTGAGTCGGCCAGGAATGGGTTTGGGACATTTCGGGACTGTTTTTTGGGAGACTTTGATAGAGATTGCTAGTTGAATTAGATATTACAAGAGATATACAGTGAATTTATTTTGATATTTCAGTCCTACATTCAGGAGTTGTTGCTATTCAAATGCTCCTTGGCTGGATAAACCCGTTCTCTGAGTCAAGATCTTCAGGGTCTTCTTACACAAAGTTTGGGACCCAAACTCTGACTGTAGGTAGTGTGTTTTGGCTTGTAATGCATCAAGGTAATTTAGGTAATGAGATAGCTGTATTTCATTTTCAGCTAATGTGCCTAAGGTAGGGCGTACCATGTAATTTATTTTTGTAAACCAAACCTCACGCATGGATTCGAGTCAGTCAATATTGGATTGTGGGACCACATTAACCCCTCACGCAGGTTGTGGAGCAGATACTAACAGTCTCTTTCGTTCTGAGTACATAGTACGTGTCAAACCAAGCAAACAAAATCCCCAGTCCAACAGCCCACATCAGATAGGAGACTCCCGTCTGAACCGAACAACCACACGGGCTCGGAAAGGAAAGAAAAGACCAGATTGAATTTGATCCTAATGACACAAGAAAAATCCAAAACTCATGACAAAGACAAAGCCGAAGCTTAGTTGCAATAAGCTGCGTAAGCAGAAACGTCACGCAGTGGGGGTTCGCGACCTGCCCTGGCCACGCCTAGACACCCCTAGAATCAGGGAACGGCGGCGTCTAGCACCAAGATAGTTAGGTAGCTTCATGGACTGATATCCAGGAGGGGTGTAGGCCCTGGTAACTATCTCGATACCACTCGAACACTGGTATCAGGGCCTACGTATGCTAATCTCCTTGTGCACTTAGCGCTCTGCCTGTGGCTGGTCATGCGGCAGTACGTAAGCCACAGGGCCTCAATACGGCTTTCAAACTAGATAGCAGAATCCTCCGAGGCGCCCTACTACTGCATCGCTAGCCTGTTGGCGTCCTCGCTTGATGGTTTGATAACTTTAATAACCAGCCAACTTACGTAGATGCATACGAATGCCCGTGGTCAGCAAGTGGGGCCCAGGCGCTTCGACTAGGGTTGTCCGGATCAGGGCCGAAGTGGGTTAGATACGAGCAAATGTCAGGGTTTCGCTGGATGAGCTGAGTACTCTCATAGTTTATGCGCTAAAGAATCTATGGAGACTGTTGGGCTGGTTCATTTGCTTCCCGTTTAGTGGCACTATCCATGGATTTGACTGTGTTCCGCATCGCTCGATTCATGCGATGCCAACATCTAACACGCTTCACTCTCGTAGATGGGTCAGATCGCGTCAAGGAATGTTTCTGCCTAGCAGGTGCCGCTGGTTTCCTGCTCGGATCGGTTATGGCTTGTCAATGTCATCCATATGTTGCACATACAGCTGCGCCGCGATCTGTGTTATCTCTGTTCCTTCATTGGCTCCGGTTGGTTGACAAGGTGGCTGAGCAGGGGGCACACAGAGTCCAGGCTGTCTCTTGGAGTCTTGTCTAAGCCTTCTAAGGTGACGTTAGACGGGCGAGGCGCAGGCGCATTCCCTCTTGGAAGAAGTACAGGTTGTTTGTTGTGGTTTGGATGTACGAAGTACTGCATAGCGGATACGTGCCTTGAACTTCAGGCTGCTAGATGCAACCTCACGAGGACGTTGAGCAAACCTGCAGCTGCAGCAGCTTGGCTATCAGGCAGTTTCTAGTTCTTGGTGCGCAGGTAAAGAGGATCGTGGATTGATGGGTTTGCAAGGACTTCTTAATTTGACCGCATCATATCAGAGCAACCATGCCTTTCATCTCTTCAGATGATGATCTATCTATGTCTGGTTCCTGGTGAAGGACATTCAAACTGGCTGTCAGACTGGACTTGCATTAGGTGATGAACTGATTATCCCCCTAACAGCATGCAACTGGCATTGAGCTACAATACAGCAATGATTCACTGACCCAAACAGCAAGGCAGAGCAGCACTGTGCAGGATATAGGATGCCGCTCACGTAGTAAGTCCTACACACTGCCTCCCAGACATCCCCACTGACACTACAATCTGCCAGCTCGAGTCAATAAACCACCCCCTACTCGGTTTCACAATTCAAATTCATAGAACCCTCTGTCTAACAACCTAATCTCCAGATATACCGGTCCTTGACCAAAGGTCCATAAACCAGAGGGCCAAGGGCAAACATCAGCAGTCAAATCGCGATGGGAGGATTGACAAGAGCTGATTTAGTGGCACCAGGACAGAACTTTCATGACCTTCTGAACAAACTGAAGACTTATCACAGATCATGGATTGGTTACTTTAGCTCGCGCTGATGCTCCCCTTTCTCAGCCATCTCGTTCAACACCCTTTCTGCCGTCCTCGTCGCCTCCATTCCCGCCGGTGCACCACAATAGACAGTCGCATGTATGATCGCCTCCCGGATCTCAATCTCCGTCAGTCCATTGTTGACTGCGCCGCGGATATGAACACCCAGCTCATGCGAGCGGTTCAATGCCGTCAACATCCCGATGTTGAGGAGGCTGCGCTGCTTGCGGTCTAGCCCGGGGCGGTTCCAGATGTTTCCCCAGGCCCACTCGGTGATCATCTCTTGCATTGGGCGGGAGAAGTCGGTTGCGTTGTTGAGGGAACGGTCAACGTGCTCGTTACCCACGACGGCCCGACGGGTTTCGAGGCCTCGGTTGTAGAGGTCTTTGTTTGTGGACATTCTGGGAGTTTGAGGGTAGGTCTTGAGCGATTATCGGCCTGATTGAGGCGGTAAAATGATAATACTTCTCAAAGGAAGAGAAAATTGTCAGGACGATTTGACATGAGTTGATGTTGACTGCAACTCTGGCAAGAGTCTATCGGATCTTCAATCTGTTCGGGTGACTGCGGGGAGATCCTCCCACATCCGCGGCGTTCATTATTCAGACTTTAGTATAGCTATAAGCTTAGCACTGAATTTACATGTGACATTGGCTATACTCACGTCTTCTTGAATTGTCCCTCAAGCACAATCAGTTTGGGGGCGTCGGGCTCATTCTTCTGAGGAGTGAGAAAACACATCCAAACCGCAGCTGTGAATGCTATTCAGGATAGTTATGCCACTGCATAGTGCAACGCCATGCTATGTGATGTTCTACCACTCGGGAATGCACCCAACTGCTACAAACTCCACAAGACGTGAGATTCTTTTGTAACCGAGGCGGGTTCATCATGTCCAATGGCGGGAATAGTCTTGCACTGGTGGTATGGTTATCAGACCGGAATGTCAAAGGTGGCCGGCCGCCGGCCACCTTTGCAAACTCCCCTTCATCCACTCCTCAAGGACAGTATTTTAGCGAAACATTGCGACCATCAACTAAACTTGAGAGACGAATAGAAAGCTACTAACTCTAAATGATAGACTATGTCCACAATTCTTTCACCAGGCGCGTCATTCCGGTTCTGTGCCACAGCAATGAGGTAACCATGTAGTCCTCATCACCAGCCGCATCAGCGAATATCGATCGATCTCGAAGCGTTGTGGAATCCTAGCCGTTGCTTCACCAGCCACTCCCGCATTCCTGACGGCGGCAGATCGACCGCGCAAGGGAGAATCTCAGAAACCATGGGGTATATGAAGTGCTCGATGATCGTGGCAATCGTTGCCGGAACCACTCATGATTCATCCCATCCTCAAATCATCCTTCACGAGATCATCTGGATTGCCAAGATATCCTCATCCTATCACCGAAGCAAGCCACAAGAACCTACAGTCTATATCCCACTTGGTCGCTCAACATGTCGCAGTCGACGCGGTCATCGATGCTCCTGAACTTTCTCCTCCTCACTATCTTAGCTTTATCCTCCTTCGGATCGACTCGTCCCGTCTCCATGTCAGGGAATGGCCTATCGAGATGTGATCTACACTCAAGATCTCCTAGTCCCGTACGTCCCTTATCGCCCTTACGACATACTCACTCCTCGACCACTAACAACTCCGCAGAGAGTAATCCCTTCAACCGAAGAATACCGCGACAAGCTCATGCATAGCATCCTCAACACGCTGGGTCTCGGAGCCCTGAACAAGCTAGATGACTGGAAGTCGAAGGTAGAGGACCTCGGGGTCATCGACGACAGCAACAGCCCCAATAGCACCGTCACGGCCGAGCAAAACTCCGTCGTCGACGAAAGCACGAAAAAGTCAGATGGCCAGCAGATCAACGGCATGAAGGACCCCGTCGGGTTCGTGGGTGATGTTCTCTCCACAATTGTGGACAAATTCCACGAGGCGTTCCTCACCCAGGATGAGGTTACGCTGTAAGTGTGAGACGTCCGGACTTGGGGATTCTGAGAATGATGGTTTCGGTCTATGGAGGGCGGATACTCATCTGTTTTGCGGTTTCTGTTGGCTCTTCTTTGATGGTGCCCTCCTTCGGGGTGATATACGCTTCAGCACGGCAGATGTTAATGACTTATGATGGCAGGGTTATGTACGAGCCAGCGATTTTGATAATGAAAAGTGCATCTTAACCAAAATCTATGGTAGTCGTCCTTCGACACTTCGTCTCCCATGCCCGTACCCCGTAAGACATCAGGGTTCGCACCATGATACTCTGTATTTCTTTCTTAAGTCCGAGTCAAATCGGACAGCGAGCAACCTTGGTGATGACAGCTTTCGCGTTCTCGATAACCGGCTCTTCGCCCGTGGCCAAGTGACAAAACCAGAAATAAGAAGAATAGAGTTAAAGGGTACAATGTAAGCTTGACGGTGATAATCTAGCTAAGTCCGCCGCGGTGTTGCCGGTGTCCGGAGCGGGGCGGACCCTGAATGATCCAACGACTTGATATCCATCAACTTGAACGAGCGCAATCGAAGCATAAATACTACACTACGTGCCCTAAATTTTGCCTGGGATCAATCGCTGAACTACATCTAATTGTACATAGCACATCGGGTTGACATTGCGCAGTACTCCAGTGCAAGAAGGAAAAAAAATGCCTTCTCTTGTTGGAAAAGAAGTCGGCCCCACGGGCTACGGCATGATGAGTACGTGATTCTCCAATTCGCGCCTCTGCGCTCAATTGAGCCCCCTACTGACCAGGCCAGGAATGACATGGAACCCTCAACCCCCCTCTGAAGAGCAATGCTTCGAAACACTAAACACGGCCCTCGCCTTGGGCTCGAATTTCTGGAACGGCGGCGAGCTCTACGGCACCCCGGAGTATAACTCACTGCATCTGCTGAACAAGTATTTCACCAAGTACCCCGAGAGCGCAGACAAGGTGGTTCTGAGTATCAAGGGCGGCCTGAAGCGGGGCCAGTTGGTTCCGGATGGCTCGGAGGCGAATATCCGCCGCAGCGTGGATGAGTGTCTACGTGTGTTGGACGGGAAGAAGACGGTTGATATCTTCGAGTGCGCCAGGCAGGATCCTAACACAACGATCGAGCAGACGGTCACTATCCTGGCTCAGCTTGTCAAGGAGGGCAAGATCAAGGGGATTGGGCTGAGTGAGGTGGATGCGGAGACGATTCGGCGAGCGTACGTTCTACTTCCGATTTGACTACTGCTTGGTCTACGCTGTTACTGATGGCTGGGAACAGACACAAAGTCCACCCGATTGCGGCGGTAGAGGTTGAGCTCTCTCTCTGGGACATCCACACCTTGAACGACGGCGTGGCCAAGACCTGTGCGGAACTGGGGATTCCACTCGTCGCGTACTCGCCTCTGGGCCGGGGAGTGCTGGCCGGTGCTTTCACTAGCCTATCTGAGATCCCCGAGGGTGACTTCCGAAGGTTGCTGCCCAAGTACCAGGACGAGGCGATGAAGCACAACATCAAGCTTGTCAACGAGGTCAAGGACCTGGCCTCTCGCAAGGGCGTCGCACCCGTCCAGATCGCATTGGCCTGGCTGCTGACCCTGAGCGGCAAGCCAGGCATGCCTACCATCATTCCGATCCCTGGGGGTACAACGAGCGACAAGGTTACGCAGAATTTGCAGGGAGTTCCCCGTCTATCTGATGCCGAAATGGTTGAGCTTGACAGAATTCTCAAGGAACATGAAGTGCGTGGTGCTCGGTACTAGGGTTGTTGAATGTTGCTGAGATTGTTGGGGTGATGACTTGATGAGCAGATTTTGTATTGAATATGGTACATGTAGAGATGTTAATAACAGACAGCTATCCAGCTATAGTCCTATAATTCTGGTCTGGTCAGCACATTGTCATGAGAATCATAGAAGAATACGTTGAAGGCCAAAGGATAAGTCAGATCAAGTGTAGAATAGTCAACATGCAATCTCACATAAGACTGGAGATTGTCCGCATTGCAGAATTCTTGATTAAATCATCATGCAAAAAAGAGCGGGCTGAACGAAAGTACTTACACTGAATTCCGGACTAAGCTGCTGTGGTTCATTCGCTGGCGAGAATACGGCCTATTGATGACATGATGTCGAGCAATTGATTGTTGTTTGAAGCTGAATAGGAGAAGGAGAGAAGATTCTGTGATTGTGCGGGTTTTTCTTCGATCGGAATAGCCTCATCACGTGCTGCTCGTTGCATGTATACTCGAATCAAACATCAGCAGCAACACTCCGCAGTAGTGAAGCGCTACCGGCATCAGCTTTCTATCCAGTTCAGCATCTATCCTCAACTTCTTCATCCCCGGCGCTGGCTTCAAGGCCTATCCCAATGACCGAATCTCCCGGTTCCCCCCTCTCCTCAATTGCGTCCGACGAAATGTCGGATCGCGAAGACCTCAAGCATGCCTTCTCGCCGTCCGCCTCAACCCTGCCTCCCTCCAAGCGTCGTCGCACCGGTGTCGCGTCGTGGGATCGCAATACTCCTCTCTCGACCACATTTCAAGAAGACCTTCCACCAACCTCCCCCTCGACCTCGATCTCGTCAGATACCTCCGGCGACATCCCCAACTCTCCCACCCTCCTGGCCCTGATCGGAGGCAGCCAGGATGACGACTACAGCGGTCAGGGCAACGACCAGGTCACCGTGTGTCGGTGGGAGGGATGCAACCTGGGCGATCTCGGCAACATGGACGATTTAGTCCAGCACATCCACAACGATCATGTCGGTAACCGACAGAAGAGATACTCCTGCGAGTGGTCCGACTGTCCTCGAAAGGGCCAAACGCATGCGAGCGGCTACGCGCTGCGCGCACATATGAGGAGCCATACAAGGGAGAAGCCATTCTACTGTGCGCTACCAGGTGAGACCTCCCTCTCAACCCCCCTTGTTCTGCTTGACATAATCGCCATGAGTGCGGAGCTAACAAATTCCTCCAGAATGCGACCGCAGTTTCACCCGTTCAGACGCCCTCGCCAAACACATGCGAACCGTCCACGAGACAGAAGCCCTCCGACCCTCCGACCCCGTACCGAAAGGCCACAATGTCCCAGCCTCCGCGGTGGGAACCCCCGCCGGAACTCCCGTCAGTAAACTCCAGCGCATCAGACTGAAGCTATCGCAACCCCCCAAGGACGAGGCAGACCGGTACAGCGAAAGCGCCAACGATGAGGCAGTCGTCACCGAGGACCTCGACGAGCTCGAACTACCCGAGTTCGGTCCCGAGATCGGTCTCGACGAGCGCGAACTCCAGCTCCGGCCTTACGATCTCTACCGGCTGCTTCGTCGGCAGATCCACTGGGCCGAGAAGGAAGGCCTGGAGCTGAAGGAGGAATGGGAGAAGATCAGGCCGAAGAGGAAGCAGTCGTGGCTGGAGAAGGAGGCCGTTTTCGACGATGTCATCGACGCCGAACTCCGCTTGTTCAGTGCCATTGTGGGCACCGAGGGTCTCCCAGCCGGACCAGGTAATGCCCCAAATGGTGTCCAGAAACAGCAGCACGGACAGCATGTAGCTGTGGCTGAAGCGGAGGCGAATCTGAGCCGTGACTCGATGTCCATCCCTCCATGATCCATGCTACATGGCTTTTGTCTCCTTCTCCGGATCCCTATCCACTTTCTCTCTATACTGGTCTTTCGCGGGTTAAGCTTTCGGCGTCATTGAGGATTTTTCTACAGTACTTGCGATTCAATGTGGCACACCGGACTTTTCAATGCATGGATGTATCTGCAGGTCGAACAATAAGCTCTTGTATCATTATTTTGATAGGTCGGGAATATGAAAATCAATCTACCATCCCACTACCTAGTATCGCATCAAGTCTTTGTACTTATCTGTAGTCTCCCAGGTGCCAGACCAACCTCGATACGCTAACTCATCTTACGCGGACTACGAAAGATCTTCAAGAGCATCCAATATCAAGCACAGAAGTGATGAGAATCATGTTCTTTTTTTCCTCTCTCCATGTCCCTGCAGAAAAAACTCAGATGAAATAAGATATTCGACAATGTCAAGCCCAGATGATCGCTAAAGCAGCACACCATAAGCATCAAAAATGACATGAAAAAAGAGGTCTACAACGCATCATCGAATGCATCTCCCAGAAACGACGAATGATCCCAAAACGAAATCAAACTCCAGGGAGTGACCCCATAATTGAAGATACACGAAGATAAAAATAACAAATGCGAAAGGACATCACCATAGGGCCCAACGCCAGTTGGGGGGCCCGTATGGGCTTGGAGAAACATGACAACACATACATAGCAGGGCCCAACACTCCCTAAGGGGGGTCCCTGTAAATGGAAAAAAAAAAAAAAAAACGACAAGATGCAGAAATATGACGAGGCCCAACGCTCCGAAGTCGGGGGGGCCAGGTCCATATGAAACCCGTGAAAACATGAAAACAAGAAAAGAGTTTTACATAAATAAACCAAACATGTCATGAGGAGCCCGCTCGAAACCACCTTTGTCAATCATTCCGACGACCAAACTCCAATGTGATGCCGTTTCACGTATGCATAGATGTAGCTCAAGAAGAGGCTTGATAAAAGGGGTAAAAGAGGAAAAGATTGAAGGTCTCCTAGACAAGGCATCGATGATTACCTTGTCGAACGCGCGATGAACGCCCAGTCTAATCTCTAGCAGAGTATGGAGTTGGCGCAGGCGCGTCCTTGCTGGCCTTTGCATTGTTGGCAGCAACGATTTTCTGATACATTGTCTGGAGTTGACGACCTCCAGCTTCTTTATTTGGCCAGTAGTTGATAGCAACGTATTCCCTATCGGAATGGTTAGCGAACTGCCGTACCAGCCGGTTGTTTCTGAAATGAACTCACCACAAGCGAATTTCAAGAGACGGCATGTAATTGTCTCCTTTTAAGGTCTTCCGAATGAATCCGCCAATGTAGCCAAGTTGGTTGCGCAACTCCGAGGCGCGGCGCGCTTTGTTTGGGATGTTGGCTCTAGTCACAGTAGAAACTCGCTCAAGTGATGAAAGAATAGGTTTGAACAAGAGGCGAAGCATCTCGTCGGAATTGCCGTTATCGCTCGATTTACGCTCACTCGGTTTACGACGACGAACATCCTCACTCGAGGCGTCAGACAATTTGCGACGACGGTCACTCTCTTGGCCGGACTTTGGGCGAGAAGCCGGACCTGGAGTGTGGTTTCGCTCCACACTGTCACGGGCGCCATGGGTCTGAGAACGGTGTCTTTGACGGTCTGCTTCACGGTGACCTTTGCGCGGGACAGACGGTGCGGGCGAGGCCGAGACGCTGGCGCTTGCATTGGTCCGAGCGGCACTCCGGTTGTTGCGATGATGGTTTTCCACAGCCCTCCTGGCAGAAATATTGGTGCCGTTGGTCAACTTGTCTTTCAGCACTGATAGCAAATACTCGACCCGGCGACCCAGATGAACCGGTCCCGGAGTCTTGATTGTGTTATCCTCGGCGTTCGCACGCTCATTTTTGCGCTCGACACGATGCTCCTCCAAGAAGAGCTTATCACCCAGTCCAAGTTCCGGGTCATCCCGAATCTGGGTCCAGGCACCCCATCCGTGGCGAGCGACACCGACGCACAACATGCCGTCTTCCCGCGCGCCCCACGAGCATGAATAATCAGCGGCCTTTGTTGCTTCCGGAATGCGAAAGCTCTTGATGTCAGCAACTGATGAGGTGACCTGCTGCAGAATGCGCACGCCGTTCGGACGATCCGTGAGATAGTGAGCATTCAAGCGGGTAGCGCCATTGAAATCAAACAAGACAGCCTTCCTCTCCTTCTTTGTTACCGTCTTGCCTGCATTTTCCAGCGCCTCCATCTTCGCATTATCGTCTCGGATGAGTTTGGCAGCCATATCACACATTTCCCGCATCACGGCAAGAACAGTTTCCTTGTCCCGACCCACAAGACGGGCTGCCCGCAAGAGTTCTTCTGGGCGATCTTGCATGTGTCCGTAACGTGTGACGGCCCGGTAAAGATTGCGGGTCTCTGATGTATCAAGAGGACGTTTCGGATCCAGCCGAGGGTCCAGCCGGTCAATTTCGTCAGAGCTGCTGTCCCCTTCATCAACAGTGACCTGAGCTTTGGCTTGTCGCTTGGCCTTTCTCTCTTCGCGAGAGTCCTGCCCATCAGCGGGAGCATTGCGTTTGCGGGGTCGACTCATTTCGATTTGCTCGGCCAGGTACTTTTCGTCCGCCTTGCGCTTTTCCTCGGCTTTGATTTCGTCCAGTTGATCCTTGGGGATGATATCGTCCCAAGTAAGATCGTCGACTTTGATGTCAACGAAGTCAAAGGCTTTAAGGAACTCCTCGCCGCCGTCAGCTTGGATCCCTTCGGCCTGTTCGGTCTGATGCAATTCTGCGTTGGCCAACACCGAATCAATGTCGAGCTGTTCTAATTTCTGCTGGTTTCCAGTCTGTTCGAACATCCTTTGACCGCGCCGTTTGAGAATACGGGAAATGTCCTCGGTGGAATTCGGTTCGCTAACGGAAATGCCATTCCGGGCCATCTTGCTTTGAATCTCCGATGCTTCCTTATCAGTGACGCCCCTTTGAATAGTGATGAACTCGAGCAACAACTTGTTGCGAGCTCGCTCGATAACTTCTTCTTCAACGGTATCCTTCGAAACAAGACGGTATACGCTCACTGGTTTGGTTTGACCGATCCGGTGTGCTCGGGCCATCGCCTGAAGGTCAGCCTGAGGATTCCAGTCTGAGTCAAACAGAATGACAGTATCGGCAGTCATAAGGTTGATACCTAGACCACCCGCCCGAGTAGACAGAAGAAAGCAAAAATCGCTACTGCCGGGCGCGTTGAAATGCTCAATAGCCAGACGGCGCGAAGCAGCAGGAATCGTTCCATCCAAGCGCTGATACGAGTAGCCACGAAATTCCATATACTCGCCGAGTAGGTCAAGCATTTTCACCATCTGACTGAAAATCAAAACGCGGTGACCATCTCGTTTCAACTTGGCCAAGAGCTGGTCGAGAAGCATCATCTTCCCGCTGCTTGTGATGAGTGCTCTTATTTGGTCCTCACGACGCGTGCTTCCGTTGAGTATCTTGGTTTCAGCATTGGGGAACATGAATGGGTGGTTGCTAGCCTTCTTCAATTCCATCATGATGTTCAGAAGGGATTGCTTTTGGCCCTTTGCGCCATCATTCAAGGCTGCGTAATTCTTCGTAAGAATGTTTTTGTAATACTCCAGCTGCACGTCCGAAAGTTCAACTCGAATGATCCTCTCCGTTTTAGGAGGAAGGTCAGACTCGACCTTCGATTTCGTACGGCGAAGCATGTAAGGCTGGATGGCGTTCGTCAATTCAGCTAACTTCTGAGAAGCCGCTTCGGCATTGAGGTCCATATCTACGTCAACATCAATGACGCCAGGATTCAAGAAGTCCATGAGTGCGGACAGCTCAGCAAGATTGTTCTGAATAGGAGTTCCAGTAATGAGGAGACGAGAGGGAGATCTGAATTCCAGCAGCTTCTGATACAACTGCGAATCACGATTCTTCAAGCGATGAGCCTCATCGACGGCCATGAACTGCCACTTGAACTGACTCAGGAAAGTCGAGTCCTGTAGCACATACTCGTAGGTAGTAAGTAGAACGTTGAACTTGGCACGTCTGGGATTCCCGTCGATCATCAGTTCATGATCTTTGAGCATAGCGCGTGCGGCCTCATTTCCATTGTAGACCACATAGTTCAGGTCAGGGGACCAATTGTCGAAGGTTTCAGCCCAGGATGGCATAGTCGAGAGAGGGACGACGACGATGAAAGGTCCCTGCTGGCGTCGGACATGACGCAGCCACGCAATGAAGGCGACCGTCTGGACGGTTTTACCCAATCCCATCTCATCAGCCAGAACAACGTTGCGGTTCTTGACCCAGTTAAAAGCCATGAAGTTGACTCCCTTGACTTGAAAATCTTTCAATTCGCCGTTCTGTAAAAAGCTCGGTGTGCCTTTGATTGGTTCGAAGGGTTTGCGAGTCGCAGGGTTCATCTCGGTCTTGTCAGACGAGGGAGGATGAGAGGCACGGTCCAAGAAGCGATCGACCTCGCGTTGAGCGATCTGGCTGACGAGACTTTCGCTCTCCCAGGTACAAGAGTCGTAAAACAGTCGCTTCCATTTGACGAGATACTCTGTTCCCTCATCACCATCCCGCATCGCGATCACTCTTTCAACTTGTTTGTAGTCCTCGATAGCCTCCATATCTCTTTCACGGTCAAGGTTCCATTTTTCACGCTCCTCGGGAAGGGCATCTCCGGCATGATTCATACGCAGCTCTTCAGAAAGAACCTTGCGAATGTAGTTATCAACTCGGCGATTGTTGCGGCACTTCTTTCCAAGGGATTCGAGAGTTTCCCATGTGGCATGGTAATGAGATTCCCCCTGCCATTTGATGTACAATTCAAAGGAGTGCTCATTAACATTCTTGTCACCAGGACTGACTCCCTCTTTGGGGCGATGGTTTAGCACGACATCTACAGCTGGACCGTCGTCTTGCACAGCGTTTGCCTGATAGTTGTCCATAACCTCATCAGGATCTTCACCGAACATTTCGTCATCATTGTCTTCATTGTAATTGGAAACACGAGAAGTATTCCGCGTCGAGAAACGGATTTCAGCATGTGAAGGTTCTCTGTTTGAGGCTGGCTGAAACATACGCCGACGTTTCGCCTTACTGGTACGAGAAGGTCCGCCATACTCGTCATCATCCGACTCGGCGGAGTAAGATGACGGAGTTGCCGGAGGCGAGGGACGCTTCGAGGACCGCTGTGAGGCTGCCGGGCGTCGACGCTTGGGGCGTGAGACCCTAGCGCCAGAATCTGACTCTGTAGAGGTGGATCGAATAACATGGCGTGTGGTCCGAGCTCGTCCGCTACGGCGAAGACCATACAGATCTGGGTTCTGTCTGATGTAGTCGGATTCACTCATAGACGATGATTTACGTTTGATGCCACGCTTAATCTCAGATGACGAGGAATTTTCGATGCTGGACGGGCTGCTACCTTTCTCGCTACTATCTGTAGCAGAGTAACTGCCAAGTCCCTCAGCATCAGGAGAGCCGCTATGATACGACGCATCCTCCATCTCCACCTCGGGCGATGACTCGGACGAGGTGAAATTGTTCGATTGTTCAGAGGGGTTGTAACCGGCGTTGTTATCAGCCAGTTCGCCGTTCAGGGCTGGAGAATTCGAGGTGAGGGAGGGGGAAAAGCCGTTAGACAATGCCATGTTGGCAATATTATCGGAGGATGATGGGATCACCATGCTAGTGGCTGTTGATGAAGAGAAAAGTCAGCATTGAAGCTCGATTCGGGGTCGAAGCGGCACGAAAGGCACAAGGATGTGTAGAGCAGTGCTACGCGACTCATTTTCCAGCAAATAGAAGCTAGGAAGCCAGTGACAGCCGACAGGAGACAAGGTATGATGCATGGACGTGGTTTGGATGACGGATGGGATAGAACGCGACAGGAAGGATTGAGGAAATGACGGTGAAAGAGGAGAGCGAGCGTCAATCCCAGAACCAGAGTCAAGAGCCGACAGACAGCCCAGGCTTGACTCAGAGAACTCAGAAAGACATGAGGACAGAAAGATGCAAAGATATCCTTGAGTTCGGTGGGTCGATAACGTGGAGAAGTACCCCAGCCGACAGAACCAGGACACGGCTGCAAAGCTAGGAAAAGAGAAGGAAATACTCACAATTCATAGCGAGGTGACCCCGAAGAAGGGAGGAAAGCACGAGACAATGTTTTATCAATAGGAATTGATGTGTTGGTGTTGAGAAAGAATGATAAAGTGGGTGGTGGAGAGAGATACAGATGGGAGAATAATATGATGAGGGAGTAAGAAAGAGAGGTAAGGTTGGCCGCCGGGCTGCGGGCTGGGAGGTGGACGAGTCGCAGGGGAGAGATCGGCTTGCGGCCTGAGATTCAAGGCTCCCAGACCACTCCGACCCATATCCAGTTTAGTGCGCCCGCAAGCGAGTCCCCAACAGGTATGGCGGCACCTCTGACATCACGTGGCCGAGTCTCACCGGCGAGCAGAAATTCACTACTCTTGTACTATGGACGACGGTGCAGTAATTTTCCAGCCTGAACCGGCTTTGGAGAGAAATTTTTCGAGGGCCGGACCGAGGGCCAATCACCGGCCAGGGAAAATAATAATGTAGAGCCTTAGAAGTTAGGTACCTAAAAGAAACTCCATTATGGCCTGAGGCATCAACAGTGTGCCCACAATGCCCGACATAGTTTTCTCTCCCCCCCATTGAGAGCCCCTCATTTTCGAAGCCTCCATAAAGAAACCTCGCTCCTCTCCGCTTGCTTTCATATCTAGTGGCTTGCTGTCAGCTTTTCTTGTGTGGATTTCTGGCTCTTTTCTATAAATTCGGCCAGGACAGCTGTCGCGACGTCATCTACGCATCTGCTAGAGGTCACGTCAGAGCCATACTTGCTACTACGTATATCTTGCTTGGTCGAGAAGATTTCCGTCTGTTGATTTTTTTTGCGTGTGCTACGTGGGCATCATGTCTGACAAGCTTACTCGGTGAGTCTGTTGTTCAGAATCTCTGCGATTTCTTGAGAACCGAGTGCTGACGGCTGCTACTCTATACAGTATTGCCATTGTCAATAGTGACAAAGTGAGTTACTCGTTGTCCCCGCGAGATGCTATATCATGGTCGCGTCGCATTTGCTTACCCTGATACTTTCTTTCTTGTAGTGCAAACCCAAGGTATGGTTGAAATCGAGATCTTTCTTTCAAATCTACAGCATGGCTGATCCTCGCAGAAATGTCGCCAAGAGTGTAAAAAGTCTTGCCCCGTCGTGCGTACGGGAAAGCTCTGTATCGAAGTGACGCCGGAATCCAAGATCGCCTTCATCTCGGAACGCCTTTGTATCGGTTGCGGTATCTGTCCCAAGAAATGTCCTTTCGGTGCCATCCACATTATCAACTTGCCCACAAACTTGGAAACCGAGGTCACCCACCGTTATTCGGCCAACAGCTTCAAGCTCCACCGTCTCCCTATGCCCCGTCCCGGTCAGGTCCTTGGTCTTGTTGGAACAAACGGTATCGGAAAGAGTACCGCTTTGAAGATTCTTAGCGGCAAGCTGAAGCCCAATCTCGGACGCTACGACAACCCTCCCGATTGGGAAGAGATTCTGAGATATTTCCGTGGTTCGGAACTGCAGAGTGCGTTTACTGCTGAGTGCCAAAAGGGCCTGGATAGCTGGTCAATGATTTCTAACTTCCATAGACTACTTTACCAAGGTCCTAGAAGACAACCTGAAGGCTGTGGTCAAGCCCCAGTATGTCGATCAGATTCCTCGAGCTGTCAAGGGTCCAGTCAAGAACGTCGGCGATCTCCTCAAGGCTCGCGCTCAGATGGGCAACATGGAGCGCATTCTGGATGCTCTTGGTATGGTCTTTCGAACGCCACAACCTTGAAATCAGTGAAACTGACTTTACGTGTAGAACTCAGACAGGTACAGAACCGTGACATTGACCACTTGTCTGGTGGTGAACTTCAACGTTTCGCTATTGGTCTTGTTTGCGTGCAGAAGGCCGACGTGTAAGGACACCCCTGGCATACAGTCATCCGCACTCTCCACTAACAGAGCTGTAGTTACATGTTTGACGAGCCGTCTTCCTACCTCGATGTCAAACAGCGTCTGGCGGCTGCCCGCTCTATTCGTGAGCTCCTGCGTCCTGATGACTACGTCATTGTTGTCGAGCACGATTTGTCCGTGCTTGACTATCTTTCCGACTTCGTTTGTGTGCTCTACGGTAGACCTGCTGTCTACGGTGTGGTTACACTTCCTTCTTCTGTCCGTGAAGGTATCAATATCTTCCTGGATGGTCACATACCCACCGAGAATCTTCGGTTCCGAGAGGAGTCTCTGACCTTCCGTCTGGCTGAGGCTGGTGACGATTTCATGGTTGACAAGGCCCGTGCTTTCAGCTACCCGAGCATGGAGAAGACTCTTGGCAATTTCCACCTGAAGATCGACTCTGGTTCATTCACTGACTCCGAAATCATTGTCATGATGGGTGAGAACGGAACCGGCAAGACTACTTTCTGTAGAATGCTCGCTGGTGCCGAGAAGCCTGACGGCAACGTCAGCATGCCCCGCATGCACATCAGCATGAAGCCTCAGAAGATTACACCCAAGTTCCAGGGTACCGTGCGTCAGCTCTTCTTCAAGCGGATCAAGGCTGCTTTCCTTTCGCCTCAGTTCCAGACCGATGTCTACAAGCCCCTCAAGATCGACGACTTCATCGACCAGGAAGTTCAGAACCTGTCTGGTGGTGAATTGCAACGTGTTGCGATTGTCCTTGCTCTCGGAATGCCCGCGGATATCTACGTGATTGACGAGCCTAGCGCTTACCTTGACTCCGAACAGCGTATCGTGGCTGCCAGAGTCATCAAGCGTTTCATCATGCACACCAAGAAGACCGCTTTTATTGTCGAGCACGATTTCATCATGGCCACCTATCTCGCTGACCGTGTCATTGTCTTCGACGGCAAGCCTTCCATTGACGCGCACGCCAACACCCCCGAGTCCCTGGTCACTGGTTGCAACACTTTCTTGAGGAACCTCGATGTCACCTTCCGTCGTGATCCCAACAGTTACCGTCCTCGTATCAACAAGTACAACAGTCAGATGGACCAGGAGCAGAAGTTGGCTGGCAACTTCGTAAGTCACTCAATTCGGACCCGTGCAAACTTAGGTTGATGTCATGCTAATGTGTTTTATTTTCAGTACTTCTTGGAGGAAGAGAGTTGAAAAGGTCATTCCCGGCAAACATAATCGCGATCATCACAGGGACGATGGTCGCGACGCTGACCAGCGGCGACGTCGTGGTCAATGGAAAACCCTTCGTTTAGTGGCGTTCTTCGGCGTTCCTGGGGCCTCGCGTCGCCGCAGTCGTGGCGTGGGCCTCGTTGGCGGCGATCTAGCTGGTGCTTCGGATGAGGAGGAGGATGACGATGACGACAATGTCGAGTAGGGACAGTTGGTTCATCTGTTCCCGGTTCACACTTTGCTGTGTTCACATGTCGTCATCCATCTTCGCCCCCTCTGATGCCCACATATCCGCGCACCCTGTTGGTCGAGTCATCCTATCTTCGCTGTACGGAGAATGCGGGAAATTTGCGCCAGCATGGGTTTTACTGGGTATTGGTGTGCTTTGGCTGGCGTGATCATACTCGGAGTTGGGTCTCTCAAAATTCTTCGATGATGTTATGATATGTATAGATGGTCCCATGACCAATGTGTTCGGATTCAGTGAAGACAAAAGGGGACCGGGAAATGGTCAAGACAGGTGGCCACTGTCATAGATCTCAGGTAGCATATATAAGCTATTTGGTTCTCCACCGTGTTACTCTTTTTGTTAATGAGTAGTGTGATCATCTTGCAGGTATGGCGTATGAACGGTGAAGTGCGCAGCATATGTAACATCTGCCAGAAGTGAAGTACCAGCAAAACATATTCTAGCACAGTCCTCCACTTATGTAGGAATATGAGAAGACAATGATAATATCATAGTGCATTTGAGATATCTTAATGATACTATTCGTACATGTAGAGGATTTTGTGTGGGAAGAGTTCTACTTGCTAAGCAAGTAAGATCACATGACTAGTCACTATATGGTCTATAGAGGGCCCCGTCCGCGCTCCCCAGTGGGGAGGCAAAGTGTTTTTTGCAATGGGCTTATGTCTCTATGTTCAGAGGGGAGGTGGGTGGGAAAATCGAGTCCTGACTGCGTGAGAGATGACGAGCAACTTGCGGAGGCGAGCGGCTGACTCTCGTAGTCGTGAGGCAGATGGACAGGTCACAGATTCACAGGGGAGAGTCCCGCAGACTCAGTAATCCCTCGAGATAGGTGGAAAAGGGGCCATGCCTCGAAAGCGGACATTCCACTGGCCTATCTGAGTGCAGACTGATCTAACAGGATCAGGGAGTAAGCGCTAATCCCTTGGACCCTGGCAGGCTAACTTATCTACAGGGTTTCTCCAGGGATGTATAGTGTATCCCGACTCCAAGTCAGGAACATGTACGGATAAGGAGATAGGCATTATAGGAGCCCTGTTGATTCAGGGGAATGACAGAGCTTGACGATATCACACATGCTAAGTGGTACAGAGACTACCCTGGATAACCAAGTAGGACAAAAGCACCGATGTCCCTTGGCCTTGTTTCTGTTGCTGTCTTTAAAAGAGCACTAGCTCCCGTGGAACAATGTGCTACTTTTCATTCCTCTCCTGTCGACAGGCAGTAGACTGTGCGAGATGTACACACAGGGACAGACATATGAGCGCTTGACTGCTGAACCGAACTTTTCAGAGTCTCATGGTACCGAGAATCCACAGGAGCAATCCAATGGGCCTATAGAGCTTCAGCAGTGGGCGAAAGCTCCACTTGCTGAAGAAACCGAGCAGAATCAACCGTCAGCAGCTCCAAGTCGCCCGTCCTCTTGTTTGGAGTATAAGAAAGATATTGCAACACGCGAATATCTGTGGGCAATGTTGGACGATTGGAACATCTTGGAGATCTCAGGAGTCGTGATATCTGCTGGCTGCTTGGTTGTCATTGTTGTTGTCCTGCAGTATTTCGAAGGAAAGCCGCAGCCTACATGTAGATATGCCTCCCTGAACTCGCTCATCTCCTGGGTAAGCACCGTTTCAAAAGCGTGCACACTGTTCGCAATCAACGCAGGACTGGGCCAGTTGAAATGGGTATGGTTCGCGAAGAAGAAGCGACCGATTCCCGATCTGAGGACTTTTGATGCCGCCAGTCGAGGACTCTACGGAAGTGCGGAGCTCATTTGGACTCTTAGAGGGAGGTGTGTGTAGTTTGCCTGTGAGAGCATTTCAGCATTTACTTAACACATACAGCCATTTTGCCGTCTGGGGCAGTGTGGCTGTCATCCTGGCAGTGGCATTCGACCCTTGCGTCCAAAATTTGATTCGTTACTATCCCGACTGGATATACGACCCTGGACAACAAGCCTTGCTGGCTAACAGCTCTACGTACACGACCTATGGGGTCATGGTGAATACGAGCTGTGAGTGAGATTTTATGGCCCGGGACACTATGGATTGGTGCTGACGTCTAACGGACCAGATTACACCATCGATGGGGCGCTCAAGATGAACATCTATAACGCTTTATTCAATTTGGACGAAAGCCAGCCATGGGCGGTTCCTCGGTATATTTGCAGCTCGGGTAATTGCACATTCGGCCCACTCGCCGCGTTGGAAGTTCGCGCTCTCTGCTCAGACATCACCGAGCATCTGAATATTTCCAGGACACAATTTGAAGGCAATGCACCCGTGGGGCCATACTCTGATGTCCGTACCACGTTGACCCTTCCCCAAAGCAATTTGTCCGTCTGGTTTGAGTCAAAGTCGGGGGATTCCTGATCCCGACATAGATTCGCCCTTCCATGCAACCGAGTGTGTACTCGAGCCTGTCGTCCGCAGCCTGAACGCTACTGTTCGCAACGGTACCTACCAGGACCGTAGCCTGGCTACATGGAACCAAAGAAGTTCCTTCTCCGACAACAAAGACGCGGCACTGTTGATTCAACCACCCTGGGGCGCTGAACACGGAATACAACCAAACCAGTCCTTCTCCATCGGACACATGGCCTATCCAGCTATGCTGAATTTCTTCCGGGATCTCTTCGGCGGTTACTTCGAGGTTCAGACCAACATGTACGTAATGCCAGCTTCGAGTGGATACGTCACAAACAGTGGCTGCGTCGATTGTGCCAGCCGAGACACGCTGCAGGCACTCGTGTATGGGAACATAACCGGCTGCGCGACTGATCAGCCAGATAAGCTTCGATGTGCGATGACGAATGTCGCCGCGGCCATGACCAAAACGTTTCGTGACTCGGCGTACATACAGGCAGGATCAGACCCTGAGCAGTCACAGATGACGGTGGGAAGAGGTGTTGTCGTAACTTACTTTGTCGAAGTGCATTGGCGATGGATCACACTGCCGGGTGTGGTGTGGTCTCTGGGCGCAGTTACGTTGGTAGGCACGGCATGGAAGACTCGACGGTCAAAGGTACCGAATTGGCGAAATGATCCACTACCCTTGTTATTTCTTTATCAGAAAACAGATCTTCGGGATTTTCCAGGAGGCAGTATTGAGAGAATGGGCGCGAAAGGATCGATAGAGGTTGGTGGGCTCAAGGTCAAATTCTACGGGGTGGAAGACAAGTATATTCTGAGCTAGTCAGGGGCCTCTATGAAGTAGCCATGTCTGGACGTTTTATACGCATAACTACTCAGGGTACAACCTGAACACTACCTTACTGTGTGCCTCTGATATGAAAGCAGATACATAGGCCTACGTAGTCAACTCCATGAAGATTGAAATGCCAACCTCCCATACAACCAGGAAATGTAAATTTACCAATACACAACTACCTACACCAACGACTAGTCCTCCTCGATTTCACCCTCTTCGCTGCCAGAGTGCACGGCCTTCTCTTCTTTCTTGGCTTCCTCCGCGGCAGGAGTCGGTTCTCGACGCTCCCTGTCCCTCTTGGAACCCCGGCTACGGTCTCGCTCGCGACTTTCACGCCGGTGGCGCTTCGCAGAGCGACTGGCGACGCTCTCAGTATCGCTGTCTCTCCGACGCCTCCGGTCGTTGCTGACGGTGCTCCGTGTGTCCGCACCGTAATCCAGCTCATCTCGACCTCCACGGGGATCACCGCGAGTGCGATAGAGCCTTTCGCGCTCTTCTTCCCGATCCCTTCGCTCACGATCATAGTGGCTCAGAGACCGAGAGCTGCGCTCTCGATCCCAATCCCGATCGCGGTAACGGTCTCGGTCCTTCTCTCTCTCGCGATCCCTGTCACGGTCCCGATCGTCGCGCTTCTCGCGGATCGGAGATAAGCCGCTGACTTTCCTGTAAGTCCGCTCGCGATCGGCCTGAGCTTTACGACGGTCTGCTTCATAGGCGTCGGGCTCAGGTGTGCGGCTGAGACGACTAGGAGGTCCTCGTCTCTCGCCTCTACGGTGATCGCGATCGTAATGTTCTCGTCGGCTTCCACGATCCCTGTCTCGATCGCGCTCCCTGTCCACCTCCTCCTCTTTCTCCTTCAACCGGCGGGTGAACTTGTCAAAAGCCACTTGGCGAAGCTCATCTGATTCAATCGCCTTGTATTCCTCGAGTTTCTCGATCCTCGGTCGCACTTGGTCCCAAGTGTCGGTTGGGCGTATAGGAGGTTCCAGACGTTTCATCCGCGAGCGTAAGGCATCGATAGCACGTCGCTGATGGCGATCCGCGGCATGCTTCTCCTCCTCGCTTCTCCGGATAGCTTTCTCTTTGATACGATCAAAGAGGAGTTGGAGTATGTCAGAAGCGAGGTTCGCCGTGCGGCGGTCTGCAAGGATGATAGACTGAAACTCTTCAAACGTGGTCTTTGGCGTGACCTCATAGCGTTTATCCTAAAGAGGAACATGTTAGTGAATGCGTCCAAGGAAAGAGGGTGTAGGGATCTTACATCCAGAACATCCAAAACGTCATTCCGTGGCCCCCGCAACGATCGTTCCTCTTCTTCTACCATGTCCCAAAAAAGATCCAAGGGACTAGAACCCGAGTTACCTAGCATTGCAAGGTAGCGTGGATCCTCATGAATCAACGGGTAGATGTTCATCCACTTGCTGCCAGCTTTGATCTTGCCTTGAGCCTTCAGCTCCTTCAAGAGCTCGATGAAGTGCTCACGCGCATGGCGTTCTTTTCTCGCCTTTGCTGCCTTCTGCTGTTGACGCGCATCATTGAATGTCCGCTCAAGGGACTTGATGTGGTTTTCAAAAGCGGTCAAAATATCAGACTTGCTCAGGGATTTGAACTTATCATCGCTTTGAATCTTGTCATTTGACTGGATTATGGCCTGTGCTTCAGACCACCGCGTGTAAGGCTCCAGGTTCAAAGAATTCAAGATATTGACCAGCTCATCGAGTGCAGCCCTGCGCCGCGCAGCCTCCTGCTCCACATGCTCCTTCTTCAGTTCGAGAATATACTCCTCGAAGAGCTGTCGTCTTTCATTCTCATCGTTGGTGGACCTGAAGATCGTCTCGCCTTCAATAATCGGGCGGATTGTCTTCCAGCGGCTATAGTGCTTGATTTCAGGATGGCTTTTCAGCATAGTATTAAAGTCGGCTCTGAGCTTAGCGAATCTTTCCTTGGCTCGATCCTTCTCCTGCATGCGAAGTTCGGCCGCGTACTTCTCAAAAGCTGCCTTTCGGTCTCTGGGATCCTTCAAAGCACGGTACTGAGGATCTTTGATAGTCGCACGCATCGTCTGCTCCCATGACCAGTCAGCCTGAACGTTGTGGCGCTTGAGCATCTTCATAAAAGCATTCTCAGCTTCTTCGAGGGAGCTATACTCTGGCTCTGCTTGCGCAGTTCCCAGTGCCGGAGCGGCCGAAATTCCATTGACATCCATGGAGCCGAAACCACCGCGCCGATCGCCAAAGCCTCGGTCATAGTCGTCGCGGTCACGCTGTTGTGGATGGGAGGGAAACGAGCTGACTCCGCCTGCGACAAACGTGGGGGCCCTGCGTGCAAAAGCTGGTCAATAACTGGCGGCACAAGCAACAGCAGTTTACTTACGCTACAGGGGGTGGTTGAGGTGCCTGAACCTGCGCCAAAGCATTTTTGTAAACATCTGGCATCTCCCAAGTGCTTTGCTTAGTTTCCGTGTTGTACCAGTATTTCCGTCCACCCTCAGCAGTATATTCTTTCCATGGCTGATTGGCCAGAGCTCGCTGTGAACGTGAGCAAAGTATTAGCACAAGCATCAGCAGAGCGGGACTCGACATAGCAAACAAACCTCGACAGGAGTCATCAATTCGACGGGCTTCTGCCACTGTGTAGCTTTTGTCTGGACATTGTAATAATACACTCTGCCGTCGGCATTGCGCGCCTCCTGCCACAGAGGCGGCGCAGCTGCTAGTCCAGTCATGGGATTCATGATACTTGATGAGCAGATGTTCCCAAGGAAGGAAAGCTGCTCTGCAACGGATGAAGATCTTGTTGCGCGGAAAATGTAGATGATGGTTGAAGCTCTCCCGTTAGTTTCCCTTGTCTAGTGAAGGCTGTTTGTTATGTTTGCATCTAGACCCCAACCCTCTATCATCCCCAGAGTTGACATGAAATAACACTGGAAAATAGTCGTTTCACGCTACGTTGATCATTGAGCGACATCTTAATTCGAGTTGCTAGTCATTTTGATTATTTGAGACAATTGTTACTAACGCGCGAGCATGTGCTTTCGTTATGCCGAGTCTTGATATCCCTGGACAATTCCTGAGACATGCTGTTCTAGATACAGTTGTCCCGCATGCTTCAAATATAGATCTGGAGGCTGCGCTGGCAAAAGCCTTGGAAGGGGGCGCCGACGATCTTACTTCCGCACTATCCTTAATACCTCAGCGGTCACTCCTATTCTTCGGTACGCAGAAAGACAATGTCCTGATCGAACTCCTATCTCTTACTCATGTAAAGTATCACAGATGAGTTCTGCACCGCGCGCATTGTTCTCAGATTGTCCGATTGCTCGCAGACGAGCTTGAAACATCACCTTCCCAACCTTGAAGTCAAGCTTGACATTTTTGCCATCGACCCCGCCGAGGCAGTCTCTGAGAATCCGACACCTACGAGGGACCTGATCTTCTCAGGGGTTGTAAGTGGACAGGAGGAACCACTGGTAGTTGTGAATGAGTTCGAAGGGGAGACAGGGAGCGGCAATCATGTGTATGTGATCTGGAGTATTGAGACGTTCCTCAGTGAGTTTCCCGATGTCTGGCACTCCGGTTGTGTGTGTTACTGATTGACCTATACAGGGCGCCCTCGCATACGCATCCAACACCCTTCACTTATCTTCATAGCCTCAGCCAGTCTCAATCCGAGTGATAGTCAACAACAAGAGTCCCCTAATGACGACTATCTTCCTCCGCTGATTCCTGCTTCGACAAATATCTTGCACCCTCTGTCAACAGATAAAGCCTTGAACAAAATTGACCCTTTCCTCCCGGCGTCCAGGCTTCTACGAGTCGTACCTGCGCAATACAGTGAAGATCCTATATACAATGTCCAGCAACAATCAGGTCATCCAATCCGTGTGGTTCCTGCAGCTAGCGCCAGGATACGTTACTCTCGACTGAACTCGTTTTCTGGGCGACCGACGACAGTTGCAAGTCTCGATTTTGAGGTCACGCCATTTCTCAACTGCGATGTATTATTCGATAAAGCCGAACTTCGGTTATCAGATGGGAAGATTGAGACATTATCTGACGATCCAGGACTCAGCCCGCCGATCATATGTCGCCCAAGGGACGACGTGACTCTAATGTATAAATTGACACCTGAGTACAGTCAGGATCCGAGCCCCTCAACCACCGTGTTGGTCAGCGTCTTGGATATATCCCTAGAGGCAGTCATCAAAGTATCAGAAGACTGCCATCCGCGAATCCTTATGCAGTGGAGGACAAACATTGACTTCTCCATGGTTCTGAATCCAACCTTCGGTGGTCCTAGTCAAGCCTTGCAACGGAGTAATCGCCCAGCAAGCCTTTCTATGGCGCCAAATCAAGCGAACGTCTCCACTGGCGGTCCTCCTCCCAGCAGGAGCTCTTTGAGAGACAGAGCCTCTTCGATTACGGACATGGGAGTCACAATCTCGTTCTCTGGTCCTAATAGAGTGGAAGTTGGCAAGCCATTCTCCTGGGAGGTGTTCATTGTCAACCGATCCACAAGCGCCCGTAAATTCGCCATGATTGCCATTCCTCGGAGGAAACGAGCCGATCCGAGAGGGCATGTAGCCAGGCCTTCTTCGTCATCTATTTCGAGTCGTAAAGAAGATGGGGTTGCAGAAGCAGTGACGGACGACAACATTGTCCATGCGATGCAGAAGAGCGTGGCGGGCCAGGAAGCTGAGCTCGTATGCCTCAGCACGGACATGCGCATTGGGTAGGTCTCTTTTTGAAGGCCTATTTCATAAGAGGATGCCTGACTAACTCATACATAGCCCCCTTCTACCGGGAACGTGCTATTCAACCGAGTTGAAACTGCTTCCCCTTGCAGTGGGGCCTCTTCACTTAGAAGCCGTGCGCCTTGTGGACGCCAATTCAAACGAAACTACCGATATCCGAGATCTTCCGGACATAGTAGCCTTTGATCGAAAGGGTGTTCCCGGTGCAGAATAGATCACTTGTCCTTTGATGGATGCCTCTCGAGTGCCTGGTGTGTATGGTGTCTCTCCATCAAGATAGAGTTGGCCAAGGAATCAGACAAATAGTACATAATATACCATAATTTGTGGCCCTTCATTTTAAATGACGTTAATGTTTGACATTCTTACCGTAGAATAGAACCAAAAGTACTACGGAGTAGTCTAGTGGTGATGTATAGGTACATGTAGTAGCGGAGAACTGGGGCTTATGACGGCGGCAAGGCGCACACTAGACGAAGGGCTAATCATGTGTGGGCTGGCGATAAGGATCATACCTATGGATGATGCCTGATGAAACCCCATTCAATCGTTGCAGGTCAAAAATCCGGGGTCTTTCCCATCAGACCAGGTGGATATAATTATAATTCATCGACTCCGTTCTTGTTCATCATTTGTTCATCCTTGGAATACATGCTACTGACGTGACCGAACATATTTTATCGTTAAAAGGCCTGCGTTACTGGTTTTTCCCTGCCACCTTGCCTCCAGTCCCTTCCTTTGCGTCATACTGTCGCTCAGCACCGCCGACCGGAAATCTTGCCTTCGATCTCTTTCCATCAGGATATACTACGACTTTTCCTATCTCAGTTCGCTCATAATGTTTTCCCTAGCGCGTCGAAGAATTTTGGATGGCCTCAACAGAAGGTATATCTATGGACGACTGGTATGTAGTCACGATAATGCACAACTCTCCCCATTCCAAATGCTGCTACTTTCTGAGCAACTTCCGAAAGGGTTTTTTCATTTTGTGCGTTCAATGTTGCAATCAGTACTGACTCTGTCTGCTTCCTCTACTTCTTATAGCCTCTGCTACATACGATAATCTTCCTTATCGAGATGGCGGTTGCAATGCGCCTTGCGGCCAAATTCAACTCTTACTATGCGGACCGGCCAGGTAAGGCTCGATCAAGAACGAACATATGCGGGCGCCATGCATGTCACTAACTTAACTACTTTCTGCATAGTTCTAACTACGATGGTCACCAACGCGGTACGGACCTGCCGAAAGCCTTTCGCTTTGCCCGCTTTAGTTTCCAGAATTCTCGACTAATGAAGTGTTGATTTTAGGTGCTTGGTGGAATCGCGGATACGGTGGCCCAGTTGATCACAGCCTTCAAGGCCCATTCGACTGTACGAAATACGCACGATGGTGATTTCATCTCGATCGAGATCCATGAGATGGACAAGGAACGACCGCCACCGTTGGGAGAGCTGGGACATGCGAAGCACATTCCTCCTCCGTTTGATTTCGAGCGACTCACCCGATTCATGTCATACGGTTTCTTCATGGCGCCTATACAATTCAAGTGGTTCGGCTTCTTGTCGCGAGCATTTCCACTGACCAAGAAGAGCCCAACGTTGCCCGCTTTGAAGCGTGTTGCTGTTGATCAGCTCATCTTTGCTCCGTTCGGTATGGACATCCCCTGACTGTCAGAGATAAGTGCGTGGCTAATGGTGTTGACAAAGGCCTCGCGTGCTTCTTCACATTCATGACTGTCGCCGAGGGTGGAGGGAAAAGAGCGTTGACCCGCAAGTTCCAAGATGTCTACTTACCGACTCTGAAGGCAAACTTCGTCTTGTGGCCTGCTGTGCAGATCCTCAACTTCCGGGTTGTGCCCATCCAATTCCAGATTGTAAGTGACGGAGTCATGACATGATAAAAATGTATGGTACTAATCGTTGCGTGTCACAGCCATTTGTATCTTCCGTCGGTATCGCTTGGACCGCATACCTGTCGTTGACCAACTCTGCCGAGGAAGAATAGACGAAACGCAGCGGCAGTATTGGTCTGTTTCTGCTTTTCTCGACCATATATCCCTTCTTTGTCTCCTTTTGTTTCTATGGTTGCCAGGCGTTATAAATGTGCGGGGAACTTTTGCTTTCTTGCTTCTATGGATGATGGTGTACAGGTCAATCTTTCGGAAGCTCAAAATGTGTCAATTTCTTGTTCTCATAAATGATCATGATGCAGAGAGCAAATATATGAACTATTCAAAATCGCCAATCTCTCCAGGCTTCCTTTAGCCGCGCGATTTGGACGGGATGTTCTGTAGACGGAGGTCCTACCTAAAAGCAACTCTCCGCCGAAAATCTGCCTCCTTCGCCAGTATGACACCTCCAGCAAAGTATCGAGCGGTTATTTATAGTCCCACCAGCGATTAACTACGGAAACATGCAGATCAGCCTATTTGGATCCGAGGCTATCGAGAATTCGCAGGCACAATGTTCTACCAGGCCCGAACCCTTCCGTCATCGATCCAGGACACTGACATCAGTCCCGCATCAGCCCGAAGGGTCAGCGAATCTCTCACCGGAAGCCCCACCAAGGCAGTCGACCTTAACAAACAATGCCAACTACCCCGCCATAGAACCGAAGTTGATCAAGAAAGCTCACCGTGAGCATATTAGTACAGGAGTTTTCGATCTCTACTTGGTCCCCTTTAGTGAATCCAAAGGTATACTCGTCGTGCTCCTCGTTGCCCAGGCCACATTAGCTGACCCGGCCCGCGATTGATAGATCATCATACACAATGTCTCTCACCAACAAGCTTGCTATCACGGACGTCGACCTCAAGGACAAGCGTGTCTTGATCCGGGTACGTTGTGCTGAAATCGAATTCCCGAGCTAATCGACGATTGAGTTCGGGAGAGAAACCATGCTTGTAAGCGCGCAATGGCTAACATGTCCCCCGTGCCTGGCAGGTCGACTTCAACGTCCCTCTCAATGAGAAGAAGGAGGTGACCAACCCACAGCGTATCGTTGGTGCTCTGCCCACCATCAAGTATGCCATCGAGCAGGGCGCCAAGGCCGTCATCCTCATGTCCCACCTTGGCCGTCCCGATGGCAAGAAGAACCCCAAGTACAGCCTGAAGCCTGTTGTTCCTGAGCTGGAGAAGCTGCTCGGCAAGAGCGTCATCTTCACTGAGGACTGCGTTGGCAAGGAGGTGGAGGAGACCGTCAACAAGGCCTCGGGCGGCCAGGTCATTCTGCTTGAGAACCTGCGTTTCCACCCCGAGGAGGAAGGTAGCTACAAGGACGAGGAGGGCAAGAAGGTCAAGGCCGACAAGGAGAAGGTTGCCGAGTTCCGCAAGGGCCTGACTGCCCTGGGTGACATTTACATCAGTAAGCATGGGATTCTTGCTTGGTCTGGCTTGAACTAGGAGGTGCTGATAAGGTGTTACAGACGATGCTTTCGGAACTGCCCACCGTGCGCACAGCTCGATGGTCGGTGTTGACCTGCCCCAGAAGGCCTCCGGCTTCCTCGTGAAGAAGGAGCTCGAGTACTTCGCCAAGGCTCTCGAGAGCCCCGCGCGCCCGTTCCTGGCCATCCTTGGTGGTTCCAAGGTCTCCGACAAGATCCAGCTTATCGACAACCTGCTGCCCAAGGTCAACAGCCTGATCATCACCGGTGGCATGGCCTTCACCTTCAAGAAGACCCTAGAGAACGTCAAGATCGGTAACAGTCTGTTCGACGAGGCCGGCAGCAAGACCGTCGGCGAGGTCATCGAGAAGGCCAAGAAGAACAACGTCAAGGTTGTCCTGCCTGTCGACTACATCACGGCCGACAAGTTCGCCGCCGACGCCAAGACCGGCTATGCCACCGACGAGGAGGGCATCCCCGACGGCTTCATGGGCCTGGATGTCGGCGAGAAGAGTGTCAAGCTGTACAAGGAGACCATTGCCGAGGCCAAGACCATCCTCTGGAACGGTCCTCCTGGTGTCTTCGAGATGGAGCCCTTTGCCAACGGTACCAAGCAGACTCTGGACGCTGCCGTTGATGCCGCCAAGAACGGCGCCATCGTCATCATCGGTGGTGGTGACACCGCTACTGTTGCGGCCAAGTACGGTGCTGAGGACAAGCTCAGCCACGTCTCCACCGGTGGTGGTGCCTCGCTGGAGCTTCTGGAGGGCAAGGACCTGCCTGGTGTTGCTGCGCTGTCAAGTAAGTAAACGAAAGAGTAATGTCTTGAATCAAAAGCAGATTTTCTGCGTTCACGAAGACCTTCAAGGAGCGGGAGGCGAGCACTCTATGATTGTAATGTACAAAGCAACGAGTTAATCAGAATGGAAAGAGTATTCGAATCAAGAAAGTTTCTGATAGAGTGGTTTGATAGATACGAGCGCCAAGCTGTGATTTTAATTTGCGCATGACAACAGCAAACGTAGTCCTCAAAGCGTCATGACGGTCGGACGACGGTTCCATCTCATTCATTAATTGTAAATAAATAGGAAGTATGTAGAGAATCGATACACCGGTCGCCCATTTTACCTGCGGGCCTGCATTGCAGACATTGTCCCATATAACCCTCAAGCCGATATCCCCCTAATCGCATGGTTGACCAGCTTTTCGAGGCAGGACAAGCATAGGTGTATTTGAGCCTGACTAGGATGCGGAGCTTCCATCATCAAGAAACTCGTCCGTACCGCATACAAGCCTTACGTTCGGTAAGGTTCGCCCCGGGATCATGTCGGTTCAGCCGGTATCACTCTCGCAAATCGGTAACGCGCGAATATGGATACTAGTGGGATGCTTCGACCTTCTTGAGTTCCTCCCTATAGTACAAATGACATCGTCAGCAACGGTGGCATAAACGTGTCAGATGGAGCGTGACGTGGCTTGGTGGAATCCATCGCCAATTCTCCCAGCAACGAGCAGAAGGCGAGCTTCGACGGCGTCGGGAGCAACGTACTTCAACTGCTTTGAAAAATCATCCGCAGCATCATCATCGTCCCAGCTCTCCTCCCACAGATGGGCGTCATTTCCGTTTGCTTGTTCGGCTTCCTCTTGAGGCCAGTCTAAATGCTCACCGGTCAGCGGTAGCTCGTCGTTGCATTGCGAGGGTACTCTGCACCCCTGTGAGCGAGGCAGGATAGGTGCTCACCTTCGACTGGGAAATCCTCGAATTCATCGTCTTCCTCCAGCACGGTGGGCTTCTGTTGTGTTGGCTGTTCGGACGTTTCGGGCTTATCCTGTGTCTGTGTTGTGTTCGACATGGCGGCGTTGTGTAAGAGGGGTGTGAGGGAAGAATGAAACCGGTTAGGATCGAGAAACTGGATCGGCGTGTTTCCCTGACGTAGAAGGGAGATTTTATAAATACTAGGCAGGTAAAGAAGGTGGACAGTGAGATAGATCGATATGGTCGACAGATAGCTGGTAAGGTACCTAGATGAAGGTATCTGGACAAGGTCGGTCAAAGGCGGCGGCGATCGACGTTGGCCTCAGGCCAACCCGCCGGCGGAGAGACCCTAACTCAGGTAAGGTAGCGGCCACTCCCTCTGACGCAGTAGCCTACAGAACACAGTTACTACAAGGCTAACTAGCAGGCTAAATGATTACTGTGTCCCTATCTCCCTGAACCACCAATGATCATTGTGACCATACGGAGGGCTTGGCGACTAGTCCATTAGGCTGAGGCTCTCGGGGTTAACGGAACAGGAGGAACGAGAGCCTCAAGACCACTGACGAGCTTGCTAGGTGAGCTGCTGGTGATAAACATGATATCTTAAGTATGTACCGGGCGATAGTGAATGATTGATTCATTAAATGTTTAATGATGGAATATCAAACAGATATGTACCTGAACGACTGGCTGGAATGGACGCCTCCCAGCTGTATGGACTATGGAATCCTTTGTGGATGGCCATCTCAGGCAGTATGCTCCGCCCCGTGGACTGAACCGATAAAGCCGTCCGTCATCTTAATTATTTAACATTTCATCAGCACAACTCCGCACCTTTATTCATATTTTTTTATTTCTTTCTTTTCTCTTGCTTATCTCTTCTTACTTTTGAAGTATTCATACATAACATTCAGCTCCTCTCTTGGAGCCATGCCCTCAGGCGGTATCTGATGGGAGACTCGACATTTCTCCCATTTCGTCACATCCTTCATTCGGGTCCGGACACCTCCGGTTCTCGATCTGATATGAGATTTTCGGTTCGATAGCTTTTGTCGTAATATACTTTGTATTTATCTTTTCTCCGTTGCGTCCGTTCCTACCAAGGACTTTTCACAGTATGTTCCGGGTTGGATCGTGGCTCTATGGCAAGAAGCCTGGTGCCAATGCCTCTACACAATCTCTCGACTCATTAGTCGAGTTGCGGGATCGTGAGTGCTCTCCTTGACCTACGTTACGCCGCGTTGACTGATCGTTTTGTTCGGTACCGATTAGTTGAGGATGCTATGAGAGGTATGTCTGAGGTGGCTTATCCACCAACTTGTGCGCACTCAAGTCATGCGCTTGGACTATGCGAGTCATGAACAAAGACTGATTCTGTTCTGCTCGATGATACAGCTGCCACTCTGATTCTCAATGACGACGTCGATGGCGCTGAAGATGGTCTGGCTGAAGGAACCTCGACCTTCCATAATGTGTGTTTAGCCCCCTTGCATATGACATCATCTTTGCGCTGACCAAATCTCTCGTACTTGCATGCAGCTTGGGAGAGGAGTGGTCGCATTCATTCGGGCGACTTTAGGATTTGAACAGGACATCATGCGCCAAGGTGGGCTTACAGTTCACCTTTTGTTCTAGATTGCAGTCAATTGCAGTCAATTGCAGACAGGGGTTGTCGAATACTGACGCTCTTGTAGCATCGGAGCGACTCAATGAAGCCGAGACTAGTGCATCCACCGACCAGCACAGGGCACAGCACAACTCGCATGCGCCGAATACCTACCACTCGCCGATGTATACGCCAGGCACCGAGTTTGCATTATGCCAGGCCATAGCGCAACTCATGAGCGCCATAGTCGGGGTGCTGAATGAAAGCCTCACAGAGAGTATAAAAGCGTTCTATCGGCTCAGGAAAGCCTACATCACACTTGATGCGATTCTGAAGATGGAGCAGAAATATATACAGGAATCACGAACTGCGACTCCGATAGAGCCTACAACATCTGGGTCAGTTCCGTCTCTCAAGCGTCACAGCTCTAGCAACCTTCAGTCTTCGAGCTCGTCGATCTCCTCGGCCAAAGCCAAAGAAGCGGCTGCGGATGCCACCACTCTTACCGCACCTATCAAAGACACCGATGTAAATAAGAGATTGGCCGATTTGGATCTCTCTGGCGAGGCCCTCGTTGCAGAAAACTCCGTTGGAACTACGACTCCGGTTGACGCCGATATCCTCAACCATGACCCTGATTCCGACATCTTCCAGAATCAGATTGATGTCTTTGTGCACTCTGGTGCCAATTTCTGTTTTGGAATCCTGCTTTTGCTGATCTCTATGGTCCCGCCCGCCTTTAGCAAGCTACTCAGTATCATCGGGTTCCATGGCGATAAGGAAAGAGGATTGAAAATGTTGTGGCAGGCCAGTAAGTTCCACAACCTGATCGGTGCTATTGCAGCTTTCGCTATTCTCGCCTACTACAACGGGTTCGTCCGTTACTGCGATATCATGCCCGATTCTATCCCAGGCCAAGATGGGGATGTGCAGGGTTATCCGCAGGAGCGGCTGGAATTTCTACTTGCAAAGATGAGAAAGCAGTTCCCCAAGAGTCAACTTTGGCTACTCGAGGAGTCCAGGATGAGTGGAGCCAACAAAAATCTTGACAGGGCTCTGGAGCTTCTGTGTGGTGAGGAACGCAGCCCCCTGAAACAGGTTGAGGCATTGAGGGTGTTCGAGCGGAGCTTGAACGCCATGTATCTGCACAAGTATGAGCTGTGTGCAAATTCTTTCCTCGAGGTAAGAGCTGTTCATATGGAGAAAACACAGACGAGCCTACTAACGCATTGACATAGTGTGTTGACCTGAACTCTTGGTCCCGCTCATTGTATTATTACATTGCTGGGTCGTCCCATCTCTCGTTATACCGGGATGCGAAGGAGACAGACTCTGCGAAAGCAGCAGAGCATGCTGAATTGGCTGAGAAATATTTCCGAATGGCCCCGCCATTAGCGGGAAAGAAGCGTTTCATGGCACGACAGCTGCCTTTCGATGTATTTGTGACTCGCAAGTTTGCTAAATGGGAGGCACGCGCCAAGGAGTGGAAGGTACCTCTGGTCGATGCGGTTGGCGTTGACCCGATTGAGGAAATGATCTTCTTTTGGAACGGCCATAGCCGTATGACGGACGAGCATCTGCAAGAGTCGTTGCAGAAACTGGCCTGGAGTGAATCCAGCGCCAACCAGACCTGGTCACGAGAGGGCCCAGAGGAAAAAGCGATCTTGAAGTTACTTCGAGCTGCTGTTCACCGCTCGCTACGCAAACACGCCCAGGCCAAGGAAATGCTCGAGGATATCCTTAGCCAGGACCGAACATTGTTCAAGGGCCACCTGAAAGACGACTGGATTTGTCCAGTGGCCCACTTTGAAATGGCAGCGAATCTCTGGATGGAACGCCCAACATACATCGCCAACCACGGCGGAGCGAAACAATCTTCGGACAAAGAATCCGCTGGGCCTGCTGAGACGGAGAATTCGCTACAGTACGAGAGGGAAAAGGTACGGAAGTGCAAAGAGTTTCTGGAAAAGGCGGCAAAGTGGGAGAGCTACGAGCTTGATGCGCGTATAGGTCTCAAGGTGACAGCTGCCATGGAAGCAGTGCAAAAGTGGGAGCGCACACATCCGACTGTTTAGGGATTACATGTATGATTGATGTATATGGCTTGTAAGATGGTATGAATCAGGCCTACCAAGCATGTTTGGGCGGATTGTCATGGCGGACTATAGCAAGATAGAGCAATCTGGATTTGACACCGAAACTATACATGCATTTAGTCACGTGATATACTCCGAATATCTCGGTGTTTCGGCGTTTGACTGTGATCTTCATCTGAGATTTTCCCCAGGAACCGTTGCTTGTTTTCGACCAACAGTCAGACAAGACATAATAATATCGAGCATCGCAGATACATAGCGGCTCTTCCAATGGGCGATTACCCGTCCCGAGGCCATTGCTTCCATTGCCGAGTTCCACTGAAGTGGAACGCCGACGGTGGCGATCCATTCTTCAAGCGCCCACTCAACAACGATGGGCTCGGATAAAATTCCGACGGATATGCTGTTTGTTATAGAGGCTTAACGATGCCTGAGAAAACGGCCAGAGTCCATGGTACTTATCGGACGTCCGATCAGGTCTAACGCTTTTGACGGACAAGGTCCGGTTAAGACGGCTCGTCACCAGCCATTGATCGATGTCAATCCTCAGGGACTTTTTGACTAGTCTTGTTTATAACAAGCTGCAATCCTCATGTCTGGTGCGATTGATTGAGTTGGTCACTCGATCATATTATTTTTGGCTTGGTGTGGGAAAGCCGAGATATAATCCTCTACAAACTTGGGTGACGTCGTAACTCTCTACTATCACCTATAAGGTAACCATCTCTCGCCCGAAATTTTGCTAGGGAAATACACTTTTCCACTTTACGCAGACGGGTCTGATTTCCCTGTCAAATTCCTAGGCATAGGACGACGTTCGCTTGTCTATGTTCTTATAGTGTACTTCTTTGTTTCCTTGGATTTGGTCGCCTTGGTATCGCTACTTTCAAGAACGCCGCAATCTTGCTTCTATGAAGTCATGACAAACAACGACCATTTCTCTCGGACATCTTCCCACATATCTACTACGGACAGCGATATCGAATCTCAAAGTGAACAGAATGATCTCGACCGTCATGAAGTCGATAACGCAGCGCTGGAAAAGCAGACCACTGCGGCCTCAGGACTGTCAGTGCTCGAGCAGCGCGCACAGTCAGTAATATCGAGAATCCGAAGTCGAGAACCCGGACAAACTGCGCGTTTCACGCACCCTCTGTCGCATAGCAAAACAACGGAAGATGTCATTGTGGATTTCGATGGGCCTGATGACCCCTACAGGCCATTGAACTGGGGATTTAGGAAGAAGGCTGTTACCACCGTGCTATACGGTCTGACAACAATGGGTATGCGGGCCGCTCTCAGAGATGCAAAGCAACCAGCGCCGACTGATCGTTTATGAATAATAGGTGCGACTTGGGCAAGTTCAATGTACGGAAAAGCCCCTGGCCCGGG